GGCGGACCATCTTATTGCCTTCTCCCAAGATGGTCCTGGGCATTATTTTATTTCAAGAGAAGGGATCTCTATAGAGAGATAGAAGCTTTAATTTATATTTGACACATGCATTTGATATACTTTCAATGTAGGACTAAATGTTTTCATTTGTTTCAACGTAGCCATCTGGAGTGTGGTGTGATCTAGCGGTATGCAAAGAGCCACGTCATCATATTAGCCAAATCCTGTGGCTGGCGAACCACCACAATACTAGATGTGTAAAGTGATCCATCAGCAGTTCACGAATCCAACGTTGCTCAACATGCACGTGGCCTTAAAAGATGATCCAACGACTATAAAGGTGCCATGGTACCAAGAACTTAAGTTCCCAATTGGGAGTAGTTCATGGTGGGTTGATCCTACGTCGCTCAGCATGCCACATACTAAGCTCATCTGATCTAGTGGCTCCTAAAGTGCCACGATACCGAGAACTTAAGTTCTCACATGTATCACTATTAGGGATATAAAGACAATAATTAATTATTTTTTGGTAAAATAGATATTGTCGATTATCTTTAAAATCCTAACAATAGTCGCAAATACAACAATTTGTTCTTCCCTCCTTTTGCATGATCAACGTCTCCGACGATCGGCAAGCTTCTTCCTTCCTCCCCCGACTGCACTCAAGGCCTCTGACAAGTGGTCAGCTCTTCCCTTCTCCCCCTAGATGATAGTGACAGTGTGGTCGACCCCTCTTTTGGCGGATCTCTCCAGCAAGCAACGCAGCACTTCTAAATGATACTTCTATGACTTCCGGTATGATGTGACACAATCAGATGAAACCAAGCCACCACACTAGTGCCTCTAGTTGCCTAGGAGGCAGATTAAATTTGGGCAACAATTTATTTCCTATTTTTAGCATTTACTTTCCTACTTTTGTCATTTATTTACATTTTACAGCAGGTTCTTTTCGTTTCATGCACCTTTCAATTGAAATGAGTAAAACTAATTCAAAACTTAATGAATGATCTTCGTTCTTCTGTTGAATCTTCTAAAACTCGTCTAAGATTAAGCCAAGATCATTTTCAACTTATTTTCTATTGAATTTCACAGTTGAATCTCGACATATTCATGTTTCTGATGGTACACAAATAATGAGTATTTTTTTCTATTTTTGAATGCAAAATTATCGAGATTAAAGGCTGATTAATGAGCATTCAACGGTTAAAATAAGTTGGAGACATTCACGGCTGACCTCATATCATGTGTGTGAATCTTCGAGCACACATTCATCTGAGAAAATGGGTTGACCGTATTTCTCTCTTTCTTCATTTTTGTTTTATTTCTCTCTCTCCCTCTCTCATGAGACCTTTCTTCTCTCTCCGTCTCTCGTGAGATTTCTCTCTTTCTCTCCCTCTCTCTCGATTGATCTTCTTCTCCTTCTATCCCTTTTGTGAGAGATCTCATCCCTTCTCTCTCTCGTGAGAGCTTTCTCTCCTTTTTACAAGAGATCTCATCCCTTCTCTCTCTCATGAGAGTTTTCTCTTCTTTCTCTCTTTTCCTCCTTCCTTTTCTCTATTTTCCTTCCTTTATTTTTCTCACCTCACCCTTTTATTTTATTATTTTTTTTAAAATATTAATAAAATATTAATATCACTTTATATATAAATTAAATTAGTTTTCACAACGAATTAATCAATCTCCTTGTGTTCAACTTAAGACACTTCTATACTAATATTTTATTAAGTCTTAGTTATAAATATTATTAGATAGTGTGCATTTAAACACAACTATAAGTGTACACCAGTAGCCTTACCAAAGGCATATTAAATGCCTTTTAACTCGAGGATGCCATGTAGTATAGGTGATCCCTCAACAACTAGGACTAAGAGGTTTTTTCCAAAGATACCAGTAAACACTAGACTTAATATCTAAGATCAGCACAATAAAAGTATTCCTCGGAACAAGATTTTTTGCTGAACTTGGATGAGGAAAAGCACAAATCGATGCAAGTAAAGCCATGATCAGGCTACCATAGTGAAGAAAACAATCTAGAAAGGCACCCTTGTCATCAGCATCAAGATAATTTGACACTAATAATTAAAGAGCTGAAACTTTTGCCTAATTTTAACAAAGTTATTTGTAGGCAGGGTCTTGTAGTTCTCGATGTACTATTGCTCATGCAATAGTAACAAAGGATCAAATCTGCAAGAGATGTAGGAGCACGGTTTTATTTAATTATGTAGCAACTAAAAATAGCCAGAGAAGTTCAAGATTGATGGGCGTCGCAAGCTGAGTAACAAACTACATTGAAAGACATAATGAAAATATAGACCCCTTTTCGTACTTAACTGCAAACCTGTCTTGAATACCTTGTTCACTGTAAAAAGGAAAAAGAGCGACAAATGTGGGCAACACCTGAGAGTGAAGAATGTCAATATGATTCATACAATAAACACAATACATGTTGAGAATCCGAGAAGGCCCGCCGATGGGAGAAAACTTTTGTTCCAAAGAAAACAAAGCTGTTGACGATCCGGGTATGCAAACCATGATTTCAGTGACATCTTATGCGGAGTATTAAAGGGTCGCTTGACAACAGGTAATAAATGTCATTTTATTCTGTCGATTAAGACCATCAAACTTGGTCTTGAGCTAATAAATATAATACTTGTAATATCATTGATAGAAAAACCTAAACAACTCAATTAGTTTGAAATTTTGAGCATATTCGAGTATGTCATCGGTGCATCATCAAGAAAACTTTTGTTCATGCTATCTAAATTTGACTGCACGCTGAACAGAAAATATTTTCCAGCTGTTTTTCTCCTGTGAATTTCTATTATGTCTCAAGCCGTTTCACAATTAACTGCATGCAGCATGATGATCAGCCCTTACAGGCCATAATTCTCACATCAAACTGCAAATTCATTGACCGATTTCAGAGTGCAGAAAAATCAGACAATAATTCAAATTCAACACGCAGCACATCTCTGTCCCCAGCAGCATAATTAAAACGAGAAGGGTATTATCTGCGACTGAAAGTTGAACCTTAACGTGATGCTGACCATCTCCATGATATGCATACTTGAGCTCCTCGTCACCCATAGCATCCCCGCCGCATGCGTTGATCCCAAGGCCATACAGCACCACATCTCGTTAACCTTGTTGGCAAACAGAAAATGCTCGGGCTCTTCAAAACTTACGACGATATTTCGTGAAGTGGCATCAAAATATTAAATAAAGAGATAGAGCTCTGGCGCAGATGCCACACGTTCCAACCTTTCGTTGTACGTGAACACAGTCTGCTGACAGGAAACGGGAAAAAGAAGATGTCCACCATCAGAGCTACCCACGATAACTCCGGAAAGCAATGGTTGAACCGGAAGAGTTAACGCTGGAGAATTATGGAGACAAACCTCCGGGAATCTGTGAGATACCACCAGATCCGGATCACTGCAGCGCGCAGAATCGGAGGAACTCCGGCTGTGCGACCTTCCGAGCAGCCAGTAGGGTATCAGAGATGGTCGCAACAAGGGAACAAGCAGCCTGTTGGGACGAAAACGCGCGTTGCAAAGTCTCAATAGCCCGTGCGAATAGAAGTAAGTCTGGAGCGAATAACTGCCCGCCCCATTTTATGGGCTTTCGCCAAATACAGTCCGATACAACAGCCCAAAACCCCACAACCCACTTCCCTCACCTTCAATCTCCTGCAATTGGTGGGCAGAATAAGGATTGAGAGGCGTTAAATAATCGCATTTTTCATAGTGTAATTGCATAGAGATAATATTTTTATGAAGTACATCAGGTTTTGAATACCTTGAGGCCCACCAGGAATGCCCAAATTCAGAGACTCGTGACTTTCCGAAAGGAGACCAAATGGGCAACCTTATCTAGCTCTTCACGAGGAAATGGACGTTGATCACGCACGTAAGTTTTCATGCAATATCTACGTTTGGCTGGAGCTTCAAATAATCCATGTCCTTGGATGTGATCACCACAGTTCTGCGTATTTTATCCAGATAAAACATAGCAAATACTACCTCATCAAGGGTAATAAGAAGGCCCTTGTCCACATGTATCTTGTACCTTAATTCGTATAGTTGATTTCTGAGTAAACTTTTGAAAATTCAAAAACTTCTTTACTTGGACAGGTCAAATCCGCTTGTCAATTTGAGTACATTTTTTTTCATTGCAGATGAATAATATCATTTTTCCGTCTACTTATTGAATGGTCACCTCTTTGGATTATGTGTATAGGACGATTCTCCCTCCGAAACGAAGAAAAGGGGGTTGTGCGACCGTGAATGTAGGACCATTCTCAGAACCACGTAAAAACTTGCTTTCTCTTACTTCTCTCCCCTCTATCTCTGGTGTTTGCATCTTTATCCTTATGCAAGGAGGGGGAGCTCGTCCCCAACAGCCGTACCCATGTTGAGGTCCCATGGTTAGGGAGCCGAAGAGTCAACGCCCTTGCGCTATACAGTCTCCCTCATTATTTTTGGAAGGGGGGTAGACGCATGGGCAGGAAGAGAGATCTCAATTTCAAGTAAAACCTCATCCTTTTTTTTTGTTTAGAATAATAACCTAAGTAAAATTATGCATATTAAGACAATACCACCAATTGGGATTTGACTAAAGTTGAGATAATGTTAAAGCCCACTTAAATTCTGTCCTCAAGAATCAAATTTAACATGACAAATTTGGCTGGCATTAGTCCAGTAGGTACGAGTGTAAGGGGAGAAACGTCGGTAAGATAGATGTCGACTTGTCGCCAATCAATTTCGAGTTCAATAGACGGATAATATTAGAAGCCCAGTTATTGCATCAAGTCGGACGGTCAATGGTACAGTAACGATCGTTGAGCAACTGTGCTAACCGAAGTCTCCACTCTCGATTACAATCTCATTGACGCGAAACTCTTTTATTCGAACTTTCCCAGATCTCCGCGCTGAAATAAAATCTTATTGAATGACTCCACGAGGGGTCGTCGTCTGAGCAAGTGGTCCACTCCATGGACTTCAAAGACCGACCAGCTGCTTGATGGTCACGGGTGAGGCGTACCGACGCCCACGATACGCCGCGAGGGCGATCAGCTTGTAACCAGCCTGGGAGGGGTGGTTCAGGTCCCAGTAGAAATATTTGCTCCTGCTGGAGCAATAGGTCGAATTGGACCTGCATTCTGATTCGGCGTTCAATCTCCCAGAGCCGCAGCAAGCGGAGACGATGTCCGTAAACCCTTCGAAGAGGCCGAGAAGACGACGTCAAAGCCATCCGGAGAAGGTCGGTTAGAAGAGGAAGATAAGCGGGGATGCGCATACCATAATTAAGCGGCTTGGAGAAGACAAGGGAGATGAAGTCGTAGGTGTTGATGAAGGAGTAGGAAAAGCCTTTCAACGTTGAGGCGAGGTCACGCAGGACGATCTGTGTGGCCTTGTTGAACTGCCGAGAAAGATTGTTTATTTCTTCTACACATTTGCCTCCGCCGAAGCGCAAGCGTAGACTGGGGATACAGCCGATGACGGTGGTGCCTAGCACCGCGAATTTCCTTGCTCCGAGATCGTACAGCGTCTGTCATGGTCGGGTTCCATTAAATATAGCGACTATCGTATACACAATTCGCGGTAGATAGGCGGAGAGATGAGGGAAGAGAGAGAGAGAGTACCTCCAACTGGTTTCTAAACTGGCCTGTCAACTGCCCGATGAACGCCTCATTTTGGGTCTCATTCTTAAGTCCGAAGTTAGCGTAGTAACCGACTATATCATTGCCTCCCGTGCTGACTAAGAATAAGGACTTGGAAAGGAAGCGGTCGGCTGCGCCGCCGCCAATTCGGGTCCTCAGCCGATGAGTGATTCCTTTGAAGTACTTAATCTGCTGGTTGAGGGAAATGGTGAAGTTCTGGCCCTGATCGATCCACCCGGTTGAATGAACAGATAGTCAGTTTAAGTTTCCAGGACAAATGAAACTGCGGTGGACTACTTCAGACTGTACGACTAATTGCAAGGTGATTTCTATCTGACGCTTAGAAACTTACGGCAGCGTCGAAGATACCCGACCCCCCGGAGGCAAAATTCACGCTGCGATACGCCTGCGCATCGTTGGAGACGGAGAGGTACGCCGGGGGGCTCTTCTTAAACTTCAGCTTCTTTGCTGCACAAATAAAGCGAACCCCAATTCTAGGTTCTGCTGCTCCACAGGTCTCCACGGAGCCACGTCGAAGATATCGAAGAGGGAGGGAGGCCTACCCACGAAGTCCACCCAGTTGTAGCCATTGGTGAACCTCCCCGTCGGCCTGCTGCGGGGAAAGTCAATCCCGTTGGGAGGGAAGTTTGCCTTTGCCTGATTCCCCGGCAAGAAATTATTGTTCCCCACGTCCGTCGAGGAATCCCCGAACGCGTAGATCGCCGTAACGACGGTGGACGCCCCCGCCGTACGCGTGAACAAGGCAGCGGAGAAGGCTGCGGCGAGGAGCAAACCCATCATTCTCTCCATTTTCAGCCTTCTACTGGTTAGATGGCCGAGCCTCCCGTGTCCTTAAATACTATGGACAACTCGTTTCCGGGTGACATCGCTTCCCGTGCGTCTTGTCCGGGTGATAGTCTAACACGCTTAAAAACAGTTGATATCTCTCATCCAAGACCGTTCATCATTCAATACTATAACCATTGCTTTCCGCGTTGATAAGCCACGTTAATTCATATGAGGTGAGGCGTTTACATCACGTTGATAGCTTCCGGGTTGCGAGCCGTCTAAGCAGGTCAACGACACCGACTGTGGAATCCGCCGGAACACCATGTTTACATCACGTTTTCCTTCAACGCGACTTTCGTAACAATTTGCTTGTGACGAGAACGAAATTATCGAAGAAAGGTAGATCTATGCGCGGCTTTATGGGAGAAGTGTCAAGGGACCCATACTACTAATGTGAGGTGGGGACATACCGAAAAGCCAACGCTTGAAACACAGCCACAAAGCCACCGTCTACTTCCCATCCACCCACGTGCGGAAATGTCCGCAATGAGCTGGATGTTTTGGCACTATAAAGGATTACGCCACGATGGAAACATGCCTACTAGACGTTCGACACGAACCCGTGACCAGAAAAAATGTTGGTCGACGGGGAACCTGAATTGAAATATCCGGCTTTATTCCTCATTTCATTGAAATATCTCATCTTAGGAAAGCGCATAGATGTCCAGGTCAAAACTTATACACGGACACAGCAAGATAGAGGCGTAATCGTAGAGAAGTGGAGACGACCTCTTTCGGCGACAGCCGGCGAACCATAGAGAGTTTCCATTGGAGAAGACTATCATGGTTAGTAGAAGGGTTGAATAAAGGCCGAGGGACCAATAGCGGAAGCCAAGGCACTCTCAATATCAAAACCATTTTGTGAGAGAAGGTAGGATGCTTCAACAGAATTTTCATAGGCCTTAATTCTTTGGGCATGCTGGCAGCGAGAAATAGCCACTTGATCTAGATTCCTTAATGTAAATCTGTTCTGGGGTCGTTGTGGGTTGTGCAAGATAGGTTTGTGGTCTAAGGGATATCTAAAAATTATGAAATTTCAAAGGCGACAGAACAGAGAGAAGAAACAATCTCCAAAATTTAAAAGAAGCTTGCAAGAAATAAGCGCTATCTCCATTTAAAAAAATCACAATTTGGAAAATTAAAAAACTATAATCACTAGGGTGAATGCAAATGACATAAATGGCTTCAAAAGTCACTCTTAGGTTTTCGAGAATCGTTGTAGGGCACCTTCGTACGTATTGAACGGTCTGTTAAGTAAGAGAAGTTGGGCACCTCACGATACCTTATGCTAGCCGTCTTCATTCTAACGTCATAATTGAGAGCAATTATGTTGTGGATTCGTCTATCAAAATTCTTGTTTTTAAAGACACATGCTTGGTCAACGATAGGCTTAATTGTTTCGAAGACATTTCCAGAGTTTCTACAGTTACAAGGTAAACTACATTGCACAATGTAAGTATGACAGTGTTTCACATGGTGCGGTTTTGGGCTTGTATATCCATTTAACAACTTAGTGTAGGACTGGGCGTGGAGAAAGCCTAGCACGAGAGGGAGGGAGAGAGAGAGAGAGAGAGTCGTCGGCAGAGGTTCAAAATGGGAGGCCAGCAGCGCCACGATTTGATGCACGAGGTTCTATTCCGAACGTCGGCGTTCGAATTAAAGAAACTTTTATTGAGACCGCAACTTTTTGAGACTCTAAATACCTCGTTCCCAGGAGACGAATCTTTAACTTATTTTTTCTCCTAAATTTTCATTAGCCCATAATTAGTAAACAAAAAAACGAAGCTTGAGAGAAATTGGGAAAATAATGATGTAACATGCCTTCACCTTATTGTCCAGCTTTCTGGATATATATCATTTCTTGACCCAGTTCAACACCATTGACTGGATGCATCATGATAATCAGTAGAAGGATAAGCAACAGTAGAAGCATGATAGTGGAAGCAACAGTAGATAGAGAGTGTTTTGAAGAGAGTGCAAGATTTCTTAAGTTTGTGAGTACATCAGAAAATCAAGATCAAAGATCCATTCTTTGGGATCTTAGAAGGGTCAAGATCAAAGATTTATTCTCTAAGTTCTTAAGAAATGAATCTCTTGTATTATTTTTCACATCTAGTGAATCTTTCATCATCGCTCATGGATGTAAGAGGTCAACCTTCGAAGCACATAAAACTCTTGTGTCAATACTTTTGTTGTGAATTATTTTTTCTTTTAGCTTACTTCACATTGTGAGCATTATTTCTGCTGAAGTCCATATAAAATGTCTTACTCTAATAGAAGTTATTATATATCTCATTAATCCTTGTACTAATGGTCAAAAGAAAATAAAAATTTTGTGAATATGACCCTAATATTTAGAATAATGCTGTGAATTTTGGGGACTCCGATTTCAACGACTCTTAGCAAATTCACAGTTAAAATTATTTTCTGCCGTTGGAGCTCGTGAAGACTCTCAAATATCTATTTGACTAGTATATAGCCTTAGCCTTTATACCTGATGGAGAGTTGCGCAAGAAAATAAGTCTTTTCCCCTTGCGCGGCATTCCATGGGGCGTCGCTATCCATGGAGAGTTGACATTCGTAAAGACTTCTAAAAACCAACAGGGGAAAGAACTTGGAAAGATCACTCCCTTGGAGACCGAATTTGATGAAGTACCGGAAGCAAAGGCGCCAAATCAAAGCTAGTCATCAAATCATCAAATCAAAGCTCCTTGAATCCGGAGTGCTCATTATTTAGGGTACTAACCTTGTGGAAACCTCCCACTTGGAAAGAAAAAACACCCCACGCTGCACCACGAATCCCTTCGTATGCGTCGTCGTGCCCCCGGCGTACCCGCGAAGATCTTCGTGCACGTCTCCCGACTGCTCTCATTCCACGAGAGATCAACGAGCTCGGACTGCTTAGGAATCGTTCCGACACGTGCCACGAACATGCTTCCGCCCCTGTTCCGACGCTGTCCGCTCGCCTGCAATTCGCACGGAGTTTCCACGCCAGACGCTACCTGCCGCTCTTCAGCGCACCGCACCTATGTTATGCGCTACACAAGCCACTTCTCGTGTCTGGTGCTCATTAGCGCTGCTCCAATGGCCTGCATGCCACCTGCGTCCACTGTCGCACGACGGGCTCCCCGAGGCCATTGCACTTGTGCTCGGCCTCCCCGTGTTGTCCAACGGCGATGCGGTCAGCACGTCCTCCCGTACTGACGCCTCTTGCACGATAACCGGTGCCAGCGCTGTCCCTGCAGCTAATGTCGTGACCTGGCGGTGTCTCCCGCCGAGATCACACGCTCCAACGTGTGAGCCTTCGCTGCTCACCGCTCGACGGACGTCGTGCCGTTGTGTGGCTCCTGCGTATTTTGACAAACACCTTCAGCGCATCTAGACCTGGCGTTGTTATCCACCCAGGTCATGCACTCTCGCTGTTGAGCTTCAACCGCTTACAGGTGCCGCGCTGTACTGGTGTCGTTTTGTTCCTGCTACGCATTTCGACGAACATCTTCAGCGCGTCCAAAGCTGCCTTGACGGCGTCCTTCCTGCACGGCTTCTGTCGTGTCGACGCCGTTACGCACGACTCTGCGCAACTTCGCGCAACGTCGCGCATCTTCGACCCTCCGCGACCGCATTGCCTGATCGATCCGCGACCGTCGTCGCCAAGCCACTCCGCGAGCATCCTCGTCTGGCTGTCCAGCGAGCGTCTCCACTCAGACCACCTGCGACCGTCGTCACACAGGCAACTCCGCTACCGTCGTCGCCCAGGCACTCTGCGAGCATCCTTGCTTGGCTGTCCAGCGAGCGTCCTCGCTCCGGCCACCTGCGACCGTCGTCACACAGGCCACCCCGCGACCATAGTCGCCCGGCGCTCTTCTGCGCCTTACGAGCACGCATCGCCTGCGTGCAATCAGGCTTCCTGCGACCGTCGTCGCACAGGCCATCCAAAGACCATTTTCGCCATACTGATCCACGAGCGTCCTCACGCCGGCGAAGTTCCGCGCCGTGCCAGCGTGCATCGCTTGCACGCTCTCCAAACGGGGAACTCCCCCTGTCCGACACAGTTAAGCGCCAAACCAACACATACCGCCAGCGCAGCTGCGCTCCGGTTCCGCGCTTCTCATGCGGCTACTCTAAATGTGCTGGCGCCGCTACACACGGCACTGCACGCCATAGCGTCCCTCCAGCCGTGTCGGCGCCATTCAGCACAGCACTGCACTCCACCGCGCACCTACAGCCGTGCCGACACCACTCCGCAGGGTACAGCACGCCACCGCGCGCCTCCAGCAGTGTTGTCACCGTTCAGCACAGCACGGCGCGGCATCAAGCCGCGGCGGCATTGCGGCTTCGGACGGCCAATACTGTTAATAGTTAATGCAAAAATATTTGAGATGCATTTACTGTTTTTGTCTTTATGATGTCTCTAGTGGGCCAAAAAGGTTACTGCTTTTTTTGGCTTTTAGTGGGTCAAATGGGGATGGACATTTATCTAGGGTTTAAATAATATATTTCTATCTCCGGTGTATACGGCGGTTAATTTAGGTTTTTTTTCTGTTAGATATTCCTCCTATTCTTTCGTCCAATTCTCTCTAAAAATTTATATTCTCTCCCATACAATTATTTATGACCTTCCTACAAGTGCTATCAGAGCCAAGTTCATCTACTGGGCATCTTCTTCTTCCATGGAAACTAGAAAAATATCAAGAGAGACTAAAATGAGGTTGGTAAAGCTTTTTAAGATTCCTTGTTGTAACAAGAAAGTAAAAGATTTTATTCTAAGTTTCGGTGAGCAGCTACTGACATTGACCTTGAGAATGGAGATTGGTAACCCTTTCAACCTATCTCAACCTCTTGCGTCATTTTTCAATGAGTATAAATATGATTTTTAGGTATTTAGATGAAGACATTTTTTAAATCACAACATTTATGAGTTTTAAAAAGGATAAAAAAATTCGAAAAATAAATGTCAAAAAATTATTAATTCTAAAATAGCAGAAACTATTTTTTCATGTATTGCTAATGTTATAAGTTCTTCAAAAGTATGAAATTTTTTGAGATATGAATTTCATAGAGACTATAGAATTATGACTGTCAAACTTCAAACACTCTAAAGAGAATTTGAAACTATAAACATGAAATCTGATGAACTTATATATGATTTATTTTCTAACATTTCAGTTATTATAAATCAAATTAGAAATTTTGGAGAAGATATTTTAGAAAATAATTATTTAAAAAGTTTGAAAAGTCTTCTAAATTTGACTATGTTGTTATTGTCATTGAAGAGTCTAAAGATTTATCTATTTATACTCAAAATGATTGATGGAATCTTTATTGACATATGAAGAAAGAATGAATAGATCTATAGAAAGATCTCTTGAATAAGTCATGATGGTTGAAACAACTAATTATGGTACATCTAATTATGGACATCAAATACATGATGGTGGAAATAACTAAAAGTATAAAGTAAATTATAGAATAATGTAATGTCATTTATGTGAGAAATATGGACATATTGATACATATTGTTAAGACAAGACAAAACAACAAGAAAATGTTGGAGAAAGAGGTTTCAAGCAAATATGTACTTTTTATAATTTTTATATGGGCATATTGAAGTAAATTATTGAGATAAGAAATAAAGAGAAATCAAATATTATTGAAGACAATGATCAAAATAATTTGTTCCTTACTTTTGTATCTTCAAGTACTAGTAAATTAAATATTTGGTTTGTTGATAGTGGTTGTAACAATCATATGAGAGGAGATAAAAATTTATTTCAAAATATTGATACATCTATGGTATATGATGTTACCATTGGTGATGAAAATATTGTAAAAATTCAAGACATTTATATTTTTATTTTTCATACAAATTATGTGCAAGTACCTTGATTCATGATGTTTACTTTGTTCCAAAATTGACACAATTTGTTCAGTGTGGGTCAATCATTGGAATGTGATTATATTATTCATTTTAAAAATGATACATGTATTAAGCATAGGAAAATTTGTATGTCCTTAATGATGATTCCTAAAGTTGGATATATAATATTTTCTCTTGATATTCAAGACTCATTGAATTTGATATGATTATTAAAGAGAATGATCCATCTTTGCATTAGCATTTACAATATGATCATTTATACCTTAATGTATTAAAGTTATTACATCACAAGTATATCATTTCTTATTTACCATTTATTTCAGCAAATAATGAAGTGTGTGAAGGATGAGATTATGGAAAACAACATCAATTATCTTTTCTAATAGAAAAAACTTGAAGAGTAAAATTTTCTCTTCAATTATTACATGTTGATATATGGGGTCTAATGAGGACATCATCTTTGAACAATAGTCCATATTTACTATTGATTATTGATGATTTTACATGCATGAGTTTGATGTATTTTTCTTTCTGAAAAATCTGAAGATTTGAAAATTTGATTAAATTTGATTAGTTTTTAAAGATTTGAAAATTTGATTATATCTTCTAAATTTGATTATTTTTTAAAGAAATATGACATTAGAAGACAGCTCATAATTAGAAAAACTCTTAAGCAAAATGATATTGTGGAAAGAAAAAATAAAATAATTGTAGAAATGGATCGAAGTATGCTTAGTGAGAAACATCTTCTATGAGCTGAAGCAATTGCATCATCTATTTATCTTTTGAATATTTATCTTACTAAATTAATTTTTAAATAACTCCTCATGAGACATGATATCAATAGAAATTAAATGTTGGTATATTTAATTGTGTTTCATATGCATTCAAATAGCCATTCAAAAATATTAATTTAACATTAATTTAAGTACTCTTCATTTCATTTGTGTTATCAAAGCTAAAATAATACCAATTGTTTCAAATCTTACAACCGAGAAAAAGTTTCAAAATAATCAAATACCTTTTTACTATATATATTCCTTTACTATTAATCTTGCCTTGTATTTCTAAACATTACTATTAGGTTTATATTTTACTTGTAAACCCATTTAACACCAATAACTTTAGTCTTTGACAGAAAATCTACCAACTCTCATGTGTCATTATTCTCTTTGGCTCTACAACCATAAGAGCAAAAACACATGATTCATAAATGTAATTAAATAATCTCAATTTCTCTTGAAAGATGTGATAAATCTGAAGTTAAGTCATTGTGGCTATGAGAACTATTAGAACTTTTTGGACTCTCTCCAAAGTGAGTTAGATGATGTAGGAGATACAAGCATTGAATATTCACTAAATTATGTAAATTACTAACCAAGTTCATAAGATGAGATTTTGCTCCAACTCTAGAAGTTATATTCATCAAAGATAACATTACAATGAATTAATAATTTATTTATTTCAATATTATATAAATGATAACCCTTACTTTCATCACTATATGTTAAAACCTAATCTTTTATTATTGGTGTGAGAGAGAATAAAGCTTATAAATTGAAGAAGACACTCTATGGTGTTAAGCAAGCATCTAGAGCATGATATAGTAGATCATGGTATAGTGAGGCAACATTTTATGTCAAAGGTTGATCGATAAGATATTCTAATTATATGTGTTCATGTTAATAATATTATCTTATATTAGATCATTTTTTTCATTAATTTCAGAATTCAAGACTTCTATGATAACTGAATTTGATATGATTGATTTGAGATTATTTCATTATTTTATGAGACTTCAAATTATTTAAATAATTATGATATATTTATTTCACAAGGAAGTATGCATATGATTACCTAATAAGTTTAATATATTTAATTACAAAACTTGTTCTACTTTTATGAATACCAATGACAAACAATGTATTGATGGTGAGACTACAAAAACAAACAAACATTTTTATAGAAGTTTGGTTGATGGATTAATGTATTTCACTCATACAAGACTAGCTATATTATTTTCAGTTAGCATGTTCAAGCTTCATGCATTCTCCATCGGTTCATCTACTTGTAGTAGCAAAGTGAATACTTTAGTATATTTTAGGCACTTTGAATTATAGAATTTTATATCAACATGGTTCTAAATTTTATATCAACTTGGCCAAGTTCTATTAATGATAGGAAAAGCACAAGTGATTTTGTTTTCAGTTTTGGTTCAAATGCAACTCTATGGACATAAAAAAAATAAGAATCTACAACATTATCATCATCGGAAGTTGAATATATTACTGCATCAATAGCTGCACAACAAGTAATATGAATGCATAGTATCTTAGAAGATGTCAATTTTTTTCTGTCAACATCAACGAGGATCTATGGCAATAATATTTCAACTATATCAATGACAAATATCTAACATACCATAGAAAAACGAAGCTTATCAAAATTCTTCATCATTTTATTTGAGGTTTAGTTGCTGCAAATTCTATTAAAATAAAGTTCTGCTCAACATTGGTTCAAATTGCAGATGACTTTACAAAGGCGTTGAGCTACACCAAATTCATCAAGTTTAGAGAGTCTCTTGGTAATATACGGTTTTGTATTAAGAGAGAGTGTTAGTAGTTAATGCAAAAATACTTAAGATGCATTATTATTTTTGTATTTATCATGCCTCTTATTTTGTCTTTAGTGGGCCAAAAAGGTAACCGCTCTTTTTGGCTTTTATTTTAGTGTGATTCAAAGGGGGACGGCACACAGGGCATTTGTGTAGGGTTTAAATACTCTATTTCTCTCTCCTCGCAGTGTATTCGTGACGTCGGTTAATCTGGGTTTGTTTTTTTCTGTGCGACAGTCTTCCTCTCCTCTCGTCTCATTCTCTCCCAAAATCAATATTCTCTCTCAGAAAATTCTTCATTGTTTTTCCTACAGATACTACTTGCTTCGATCGGAGCGGCGATTCCACAGACTCTCGGAAAAACCTCCGAGGGGGAACACCCTATCGAGGAGCTCCTTGAATCAGTACTAACAATGTGGAGACCGCCTCTCCCCTATTTTTCTTTCTACATGATACAACTCCCGTCATCCAAAACGCCTCACTGTTACATGTTTTTACACAAGACTTGGATCTTGCCTTAGTACGAAAGAAGTTTCGATACACCCTTGTTGGGCTACGCCTGAGTTTTTCGATATAAGTAGGCACTCGTGTCGAAGGACGCATCGAAGCGGGAATGTGGAAGGAAAGAGAAGATAAGAGACATAGAAAGCGAGTGAGTAATTGAGAGAGACAGAGACAGAGAAAGAGGCCACATATGAGCTTAATAACGACGCCGATTGCTGATCATGAGCTTCATGCACATCATTGACATTTTCTCAACAAAAGTATTTTCAATAAAAGAGGGTGTCAGATGTTGTTACTGATTCTATTTTGATTGAAATGAAGTAATAAAATTGAAAGCCTACAGACGTTTGTAGATTGGTAAATCACCAGAAAATTGATTTAAAGATAACAATGTTTCAGTAATGATCGTACACCGCTCACGGTACGCAATTGCGGAATTCTCAGATATCCACTTTGAAAAAGAATTCAAAATATCCTCGAATTTCGCCGTCCTTACAGAATTGGGACTCAGTATCTCCTTCGAGAATCAGCCAATTGTTCGACAGTTACTGGTGTGGTGTACTTGCGCCCACGAAATGCCGTGTTGGAGATCAGCCTGCTGGTAGCCTGCGTGGGGTGTAGCCGGTCCCAGTAGAAATACTGGTCCCTGTTGGAGCAATAGGTCGCGTTGGGCGTGCAGCTTGATTCAGCGTTGAATTTCCCAGAACCGCAGCAAGCGGATACGAGATCCGTGAACCCTTCGAAGAGGCCAAGAAGACGACGTAAGGCCAACGAACATGGAAGGTCAGGATAAAGAAGATGTTCGGGGGGCGGGGAGGGGGAGCAAGCGTACCGTATTTTGTCGGGTTGGATGAAACAACGGAAATGATGTCGTACACCTTGATGAAGGAGTAGGAGAAGCCTTTCAGGGTGGAGGCAAGGCTATGCAGTACGGCCTCTGTGGCCTTGTTAAACTGCTGAGAAAGCTTGTTCAGGTCTTCTGCGCATTCGCCGCTGGGGATAGCCCGTCTTAGAGTGGGGACGCAGCCAAGGCGAGAGGCACCGAACACAACGAATTTCCTCGCTCCGAGATTGTACAGTGTCTGTCATGGTCGAGCTACATCAAATATAGCGACTAGATGTATATTTCCGCGGTACATTGACGAATATATGAATAGAGAGAAAAGGGAAGAGGGAGAGAGAGGAGGGAGAAAGAAGGGAGAGAGAGAGAGATTACCTGCAACTGGTTTTTAAACTGATTGGCCAACTGTCCAATGAGAAGGTCCTGCTGAGTAGCATTCTTGAGTCCAAAGACGGTGTAGAAACCGAGCATATCGTTGTTTCCCGTGCTGAAAATAAACAAGGACTTGGAAAGGAAACGATCGGCGGCGGTGGCACCGACTCGACTCTTCAGATGCCGAGTGATCTCTTCGTAGTCCTTGATCTGCTGGTTCAGAGAAATGGAAATGTTGCGGCCCTGAATGATTGACACGATCCGAGAAACAAAGAGTGAGTGTTTCAAGTTTCTGTGACAAATCTAACGGCGCTCTAGTCATTCAGACTGGTCCACTCACTATAAGCTGATTTTGATCGAACGATTAGAGACTTACAGTGGCGTCGAGGATGCCCGACCCCCCCGAAGCAAAGTTCGCACCACGGTACAGCATGGCCTCCCGGGTGATGGAAAGGTACGCCGGCGGGCTCTTCTTGAACCGCAGCTTTTTCGCTGATAAAAACGAAGCAGACCCCATTTTTAAGTTCTCCTGGTGCTACACGGGTTCCTAATGGGGAACGACGATAATAACGAAGAGGAAAGGTGGCCTACCCAAGTAGTCAATGCCGTTGTAGCCATTGCTGAACCTCCCCGTAGGCGTGCCGCCTGGGAAGTCGATCCCGTTGTGAGCGAAGTTTGCCTTCGCCTGGTTCCCCGGCAAGAAATTGTTGTTCCCCACGTCCGCCGTGGAATCCCCGAACACGTAAATCGCGGGAACGACGTTGGTGGCCACCGCCATCTGCATGAACACGGCGGCGGAGAAAGCCGCGGCAAGGAGGAGCAAACCCATCTTTCCCTGCATTTTTAGCCTTCAACTGATCGAATGCCCTTGTCTAGCTTCTCGTTGGAGCCATATTTATAACCCGACGCTTGATGACGAGGCCTTCACCTCGCGTATGACCTGGAAATGGTCCTCTTACACGTGTTGAATACTCGTTGATGCCGTCTTACGCTCTCTAGACCAGACACCGTCGACATTATAGTCATCGCGTGCGGGCGGCCGATTTGACTTACATATATTCGCAGACCCGTCCTGATATTGGCATGCTTTTATAACGTGGGCTGCGGCGGGGGGGCCGCAAAGATGCCGACGAAGCTGGAGTCCATGGGAATAACCGTGTCCCCAGCGACTGGTCGATTCTACCGGACTCCGTCACGAAACATATGTTTATTTTCTTTGGGCCAGATCGAAGTCCTCCAGGATACAAGATCTATCCGTCTCTAAACTCTAAAAATGCCAAAATAACACAAGCAGCTCAGCTCACGTGGGATGATAGATCCGTTTCAGCGGGTTGGTAGAGCGGGAAGAGAATTTACCGAAAACCAATTCCATAGACGCGGTGGGGATGCACGTCCATTCCCCTTCCACTCGACCTGTGGAACGCTCGGCAATAGTCTGGGGGTATGGATCCATTCGTGCAGGATGATCATTATAGTCAACGACATCGTGATGCCTATGATTTTCGACGAAACGTGCCCCCGCGTGCAAACACAACTCCAGCGGTGTCGACGGGAAAGGTACCGTCGAAATATTAGGACTCAGACCTAAGCCTTAGGAAACAACGTACTTGTTCATGTCAAACCTTATCTGTGTACACGTCAACATGAAGATGTGAACGGAGAGAAGCTTGCAAGTGACCCTCGTTCGGCGAGAGGTGGCAACTCGGAGAGAATTTCCATGTTTGAAGATCGTCTTAGTAGCAGAAGCCCATGTTTGAAGATCATCTTAGTAACGAGGTAAGATAAAAATGCTTCAAGAGAACTTGACATCAGCTCATAAGACGGCACCATGAAGGAGCCCACGTGATCTGGATCCATTCAAATAAAGTAATTTGGATGGACGTACGTTGTCCAAGATGGTGTGCTGTATAATAGACATCTCTCAAAAACATATGTAATTACAATGTCAAGAGATAAAGTGAGAACAGAAAAAGTTTGAATCATTCTGAAGAGAGGAGCTTGTTCTCGACTGAGAGAAAAAGCAAGACAAGATTGATCAAAATGAGATAACGCACTTGGGAACGGGGAAAAAGGGACTTGTATCTAACGGGATGTAGCTTCTCGTGGGAAACGTCGTTCCGTTGCACGAAATACTCGCTGACCCATTCGTTCCTGTTCTCCGACGGTATGAAATGGTCAAACATATTACATAAGAATCGGGCTGGGTAGGTGTTGCACGGGTGGAGCTTATTTGTACGAGCGTACGAGGTCGGCGGCAACGGTGTTGCCGCCGGTGTGCGTTGCAACCTCAATAGGAAAGGACCAACGTGGACCAAACGCCAACTGGTGAGGCCCAATGGAACAAATCAACAGAGTCCGAGGCAATGACTTAAACGAACCTGGTCAAATGAAACTTTTATCAACGGTCCATTCCTCCATGGTACGTGAGCGTTCGCGGTCGACCTGTGAGCAGCATTCGTGAGGGGCTCGGTCTGGTATAAGGGCCAGATCATTTGAAGATGTAGAGCATCCCTGGTCTCACGAACAAATCTTCATTCAGTATACAATTTGCAATAAATACAACAAGAGGAACGAAGATGTGGGGAGCCCGACACAGGAAATCGTCGACCTCATCGCAGTTGGTTAGCCTATCTGCCTGTTTGCCGCCGATGTATCGACCCTGCTAAGAGGGAAGGTGACCTATGTAGAAGAAACGTGGAGGAAAGATTGCACACAATGAAATGGAGATCGAGTAAAAATCTGCAACACGCCTGCAGATTAACGAGTTCCTTTTTATACTCGCCCAATTGTAACTTTACCAAACAGAAGGCCCCCATTCATCTTATCACCGTCGCCACGATGGCTTTCATCTCAGCCGTTATAATGTGCGAGATGGACGGCCAAGTTTAAAACGCGAACAGAGTCAAAAAGCAAAATCAAGGGAAATCGCAGTAAGATTGATCCAACAACCTAGTCCCCATCCTCTGGCATTTAGCTTTCTCCAGCGTTGCAAAGGAGTCTTCAAACACGTAGATCACCGAGCACTGTCCGGCCCCGTGGTTCGGAAGAACAAGGCTGCAGAGAGCGCTTCGGCGAGAATAACAACCCAAACATTCGTTCTGAGAAATCACGAGAGATAGGAGGAGAGACCTAGTGTCCGGAGTTCAGCGCTGGCACCAGGTCTCTCCTCCTTCGATCTCTCGTGGTTTTTCAGCAAGTGGTATCAGAGCGAGGTTCTAGAGAAAGAGCGCAAGGCAAGCGGCGCGGGGTGCCGGAACGGTGCCGGCACGGATAGCCGCGGGCAAAGGCGTGGGGAAGGGGAGAGCCGTCGGAAGCGTCAGGAACGACGCCGCATGTGGAGTACCGCTCGGAACGGCGGCGGCACGGCGAGGACATATACGAAAATGACAATACGCGGTTTCTCGTAGTTTCTCCACACCTTCTATCCGAGCTTGTAACCGGGCATAAGCGAACCCTCACTGCTGCCTTACTATTAGTAATGAACCCTCATTGGAAAAAAAAAAAAAAAAAAAAAAGAACCCTCATTGAATCTCTTTCAAGGACATGATGACGAGCACATCTCTTCTCAAGGTGACGTGCTCAAAATATACCTCCTGGTTCTAAATGAGGCTCACCCACCAAAACAAACTGAAGAAAACTCCAACTCTAAGCCCCCCCTCCCTCCTCCTATATTTAACTAAAAAAGAGAGAGAGAAAGAAAGGGAGTGATCAAAGAATATGTTGGAATCCCCTCTCTTCTTCTCCATTCAATGGACGATGTCCTCTCTCTTTCCCATGTCCCTCATGTTATTAGAGGAGGAGAGAGAGATCAGAGAGAGGAAAGATGAGTCTGTTGGGACTTTCCCCTCTCTAGCCGTCCAATTCAAAAGAATTGGGAACGACCTAACTGGTTTTGACTAGTGAAAAACAACTAAATAATGTCAATCATATGCTAGGCGAGGCTACATGTCAACTCTGTATCACCGTGAATATTAATGGGTATGAGATTATCTAGCGCAAAGTTATACGCAGTTTTCAAATTCTTCCTTAAACTCCCAATACTTCCAGCACAACGTACTCAGATTGTTGACTGGGGACCTCCTTGTCAGTTTAACTGGTTAGAGAGAAAGAGAGAGAGAGAGAGAGAGAGAGAGAGAGAGAGAGAGGCCATCTCAAACTGACATTTAGACTAGGTGGTCGTCAGCGGTGCAAACAGATCCCACATAGTTCCGATCTGTAGGCAATGTATTCCACTAGAAAACGAGCATATCATTGGATACGGTGTCGATCCCAAACAAAGGCCTGGAAAGGAAGAGGTCGGCAAAATGATGGTTGTACTGTTCGAAGTTTTGTAGGGTCTAGTATGCGACACGATAGAAGTATCATAGGTTTTGCCACGCCGCGCTACTGAGTCACTCGTTTATCCATTGAACGGTTCAGTAAATAAGCTGATTCTGGAGAAAGCCTACCTCGAGGGAGCGAGCAAGCGAACGAAAGAGAGAGAGAAAGAGAGGGAGAGATGATCAGGTAAACTATCCTTTAAAGATGGTCCCATCAACTCCGGTACTGCATACTTATTCCCCGTGTATGAAATCGAAGTTTTATTCGTCCGTTATTTTTTTCAATGCTGAAACAAGTCCCTCTAGATAAACATAATACATCTAACCTTCACCGGTCGTCCGATCCAACTGCATCGTGTGTGACCGGGTATCTTCTTTAGTGCTTAACTCTCATACAGCTGTTGAATATTCATAGGCCTGACAAACTCTCGTCCTCCATGGTACGCAACCTCCGCGATCAACCTTTGAGCAGCTTCTGTGAGGTGGGTTCGGTCCCAGAACAAATGGCCTAGCCTGCTCGAACAGTAAGTGGCGTTTGGCGTGCATGCAGATTCGGCATTGAGGGTCCCCGATCCGCAGCACGCTGATTTGATCTCCGAGAACCCTTCGAAGAAACCACATTGTTAACAATGGCTTCAGTTAAAGAGTCCGGACAATGGGGTCCATAAGAATTTGGTGATGGAGATTAAGGGGAGAGCTCATACCATATTTTGAGGGGTTGGATAACACGGGGGCCATCACCCGGTAGGAATCTACGAAGGTATACGAGAGCCCTTTCGAGGTGGAGGCGAGGTCATGGAGGAGAACCTCCACGGCGTTGCTGAATAGTCGTGAGACCTCGTTCAGCTCCTCTATGCAGTCGCCAGAAGGCGTTGTCCGTCTTAGAAGCGGGGCACAGCCGACCTGCGATGTCCCAAAGACGACGAGTTTCCTCGCTCCGAGCTCATACAACATCTGCCGTCGTAAAGAGGGAACAAAACAAAATCATATATATGTGGGGGTATAGGGGTATATACGTTCGATTGATCGACCGACTTAGAGAGAGAGAGAGAGAGAGAGATTGTACCTTCAACTGGTTTTTAAACTGTTGCGTCAGGAACCCCATGATCTCATGGATCTGGGTGCCATTCAGTAGTTGGAGGTTACCCAAGAAAACGGAAAAATCATTACTTCCAGTGCTGACAACGAACAAGGACTGAGATAGGAAAAGAGAAGTTGCGGCATCTCCCAGACGTGTCTTTTGGCTGTGAGTGATCCGTTCGAAGTAGTCGATTTGTTTATTCAGAGATACGGAGAAGTTCTGGCCCTGATTCATTTATCAGCCAGAGGGCGGGACAAAGTGTGAGCTCTTCATACTCTCGAAGGGAAATATAAGGAAATGATTTTTTGGTCAGTATGGAGACGGCTGCTGTTGGAGACTCACCGTGGCGTTAAGGATGCCCGATCCACCAGACGCGAAGTTCACTCCATGCATTTGGGCGTCGCTAGTGAGGGAAAGGTACGCTGGTGGGCTCTTCTTTAACCCCACTTTCATGGCTAAGGCATAGAAAGATGACTCAGTCCCTGGCTGCTGAATGCTCTAACTAAATATTCATATTTCCGGTAGGAATTTGAAGAGGAAAATCAAATGGGAGAGATACAGCAGGGGAACAGTGGTGCACTTTAGAAAAATGAGAGAAAAATATTTAATTAACAATAGTGAAAGGATCCGTTCAGATTAATTAAATTTCGTTAATATTGGATCATAAATAATATTAAACGCCACATCACGCCCATAAGGAGGATGGCCTCAGTCAGCCCCAAAAGCCCCAAAGTATTCGGTTGGCGACAGTTCTGACTGGCGATCCACGTAAGAACCGTCGATTCTTCATTATCTAATGTGGACTAGACCCAAAAGCCCCAAATTGAGTTGGATAACATATATCTGAGAAAAAAAGAATTTGGTCAACCCTAAATAAAAAAGTTACAAAGAAAAGGGCGTCGGATTTGGGCAATTCACGTGAAGGGGTGGAGTTTTACGAACGAATCTTCGTTCCTGGTACAAGTTTTTTATCTAAAGATGACAAAAGCGTAATTATTAGGGAAGCCATTACCCAAAAAGTCAGCAACGTTGTAACCGTTGCTGAACCTGCCCGTCGGCTTGCCACCGGGGTAGTCGATCCCGTTGGGTCGGAAGTTGACCTTGCCCAGATTCCCCGGCAAATAGTTGTTGTTTCCAACGTCCACCGAGGAGTCACCGAACACGTAGACCGCTGGAGTACGGTCATTCGCCGCCGTCAGCAAGAATAGGGTTGCCGAGAGAGCCGCGGCGAGTAGGAAAGATCTCATCCTCCCCATAGGACCATACAATCTGGCGTATACACACTCCCCCTCCTCATCTTGCCTTATTTATAGTCCGGATCGAACGTGTAGTCAGCTTATGAAAAACGGAGAGCTATTCCTGAGCGGCTTTGCGTGCTAGCCATCTAAATTTTCCACGTTTCGCCGAAAATATTGACGCGTAGATTTTCTCTCACAAGCCGATGTGCAGGACCCAAGTTCTTCCACAAAGGCATCATTTTTCCAGTAGAAAAAGTAAAGTCAAACGGCAATAGGTCAACTGTACGACAAACTTCTCGGAAACCATCCGTAACCTTCCGATAGACCATGCCATTCAGGATGTTGACCGGTGAAAGAGCGAGTCCAACGTCATCTATTTTTCAAAAACCAACACCGAACTCAAAAGAGGACAGTGGGACCAGTTGGGTCTTCCAGCCACCCCACCCGCGTCACGGAAGCAAGAGTTTATTTATGAGGGCGATGACCTTCGTAGGTTAATACTATATAAGATTTTATCCCGTGGTCTTCAAACTAGAATATGATTTGATGTGACATACAGTGGAAGTCGTTCATGAATCTCTCTTCCTTCCTAAATAAGTATTCAAAGCCTTCGATAAAACGTACACGGTAGATTTTATGTTCTCTTTTCGTTCTTTGAAAACCAACCAAATCGTTAATTAGCAAGAAAACTTGGCGAATCCTGGGCCCTCTCTGTCTATATGCCTGTCTCTGTCTCTGTCTGCCTCTCTCTTCTCTCTCTCTCTCTCTCTCTCTCTCTCTCTTTGATACAAGTCGTTGGAAAGATCCACCCACATTCAATCACAAGATAAAAGTACAAAATGACAATGAAAAGCAACCCCGAATGAAAAGCTTTTACATAGAGCATATATAAGATAACAAATGAGAGAAGATATCCATATATATACATTATTGGAATTTTAGACGCATCCTAACATATATATACATTATTAGCAGCCATCTCTCCTAGTATGAAGGGTAGAGAACATGCTTTACGACATCACTTATGAATGTGAGAGATGCTTAAATACTGTTGTCTCACAACAATGAAAACGAATAAGGCTGCTCGAGCTCTGGAATTCCATTCGAACACCGGGCTTTCCAGCAGTCAGCCGTCATCTACAGTAGGCTCACAGTGACCGAGTGCGGTGGCCGGAAGCCCTTCCGCAGAGAAGTGCATTCCTAGGGATAGGGTACTCGTCCCTTGTGGACTCCAGGGGGGAGTATACCCTCAGATAGAACTGTTGCCCGAGATATTGACGTGCCCAATGCTCAGTCCTTAGGTTCCACATCCCCACGTTGTCAAGAGCCAAGTACACAGCCGTCCACGACCTTGGGTATACCTGCAAATTTTGTCACGACAGTGAACAAATTACATGGTTTGTACCGCTCAGTGAGTTAACAAAGACCAGGAGGAAGGAAAAGAGGTTTCCTCCTACTTGAGTAGTGCAACGCGCCACTGCGTCCCTTAAGTTGTATTGCTTTCTACTGGAAGGGCTCCACCTTCCCCCATCCATCCTGCACAATCACCGAGATCATAGTAAGAGATCTTGCGAGGAGGTTTTATCCCCTTCCATAAACGCCGCTCATTACCCGACAATGAAGAAAGAGTAGCCATCCAGGTGCCAACTTTGGACGATGCTCTCCTTGTTCTCGAACACGATTTCTACGAAAGCCCGGAAGTCTCCAGCCATCACCGATGTGTCGAGGTGCTCCCGTGCACCAGTAGGGCTGTCCGAGATGCTTCCGAGTCTAAATACCCCTCCGATCTTGTACAAGTCTGCGATCTTTAATGGCGTGTCCGCCGGGGTGAAGGAGACGCTGTTCACTGCATAGCGTTGCTTGCCGTTCACTTGAGCGGCGGAGCTGGCGAGCCTGATGGTCCGAGTGATGTTGATCAGACCGTAGTGATACGAACCCTGTGGATTCGGCCTCGGGCCGCTTGCGGTGAGGTTGGTTCTGAGGCAGAAACCATTATTTAGCGGCAAACGAAGGAAATCTCAAAAACAATTTGAAGAGACGTCGGTACCATGAAGCTGGGTAGAAGAAGAAAAGCGTACCGGATTGAACGAGCCTGGCTGAGAGACCAGTCGATCTCGGTCGTCGGCCCTCCCGGAGGCTGGCCGGAGACGTTCTGGGAGGAGCTGCTGTAATGGAGGATCCCGGTGGTCGTAAGAACGGGCTTCGTGAATCGAGAGGACACGACGATGTAGTAGTCCCGGACAGGCTGGTCTGCTGTGACCAGAACAGACAGCGACTGGCCCACGTGGACGTCGACGGAGGAGTACGTCTCCTGGAGAGTGTGTGTCCCTTCCACTTCGATCAACTTCATCTTGTGGCCATTAAATCTCACGTTGAGGGAGCTCTGCAAACCGACATTTGATATCCGGAACCTGTACGTTTTCCCTGCAAGGGGACCTCACCGTTACGTCCCATCTCCATGGCCATACCCTTACGAAGCTCGATTGCCTCGGTGCTCGTTGAAGCGGGTGGAGAGGGCTTACCTTGATCGACAGTGAAAGAAGCACCATTGGGTCCGCGGCCATTGATGAGAATGCCGTCGGGAAACCGGAGCTTCTTGCCGCGGTCAAGGATGGTCTTTAGAGCCTACAAGAGGGAAGTATTCAGAGCTAACAGCGAGAGACGAGAGCAGTATGGATAGATTCAGGTTCTATTTGTCTAATAAGCAGAGAAATAGAATGTAATATGCGAACGCAAAATTTCCAGAAATAGTCCAAATCCGCCTCCGTAGAGGGCAGAGATTGGAGAGTCAGAGAGGAAAATAATCTGACGAGGAAAATGGGCTGAAGTCTGCGACTCCAAATCCGCCTCCGTACGTCGAAATTATTTTATTTAAATTTATTTTTCATACTCATTTTTTAAAATGTTGAAGCAGTCTTTAAAGCTTATAATTAATTTACGATATTATGGCCGCGTTGCCGGGCCCATCATCAGTTCGGAGTGTTCTTCCGGAACCAGCCGAACATGCAAACAGAAAGACGTATATCACGGACATAGCATTCATGTGCTACGTCATGCAGAAAACACGATAAGCCTAATTACTTAAATTATAAAGAAATAACTTTTTTCCTCGTATATTTAGTTTTTCTCAAAGTTTTATCCCAACAGACGAGCTAAAAAATATCATTAATGATGAAGATGGTATCATAACTGATCATTTCAGAGGGGAGAGGTTGAGAAAGAGAGAGAGAGTGAGGAGGGGGGAGGGACTTAACTGTGTGGTTGGATTTGTACCAGTCGCCGACGAGGAGAGTGAAGTCGCCGGCAGGGTCAGCGAAGGGGACGGGAATGCGGGGCCTGCTGACGATCCGGATGCCGCCGAAGCCGCCAGCAGCCTTGTGGAAGCCGAGGGAGGGGAAGTAGAAGAAGCTCCCGATCTGGTCCTTCACCTGGAGCACGTAAGTGAAGTTCCTCCCCGGCGGAATGGGGCAGTTCGTCCCGAACACACCGTCTTGCCACGAGTTCCGCCGCTGCTGTATCCCGTTCCTGTTCTCCCGGTCCGCGTCGCACCCAATCAGTTTAAAAGATATATTTTTCAAAACGGCGTCGCTGATCAAGTCCCAATTATCGAGTCCGAAATATTCATCGGTTATTTTTGAAGTTTCTTTTGTTTTCTCATCCTCTGTCCCTCAAAGATGAAGGTCCGCTAGGGAAACATTAGTGAGCCGAGATTCGTAGGCAGTTCGAGGAAAGATGAGGTCATGTAACCACAATCGCCCACCCAAATACGGCTCCTGCAGTGTAATCAACTAATGGGAAACGCCACAAACTAATGTTTTGAGAGAGAGAGAAGATGTAGGGGCGAGAAGATCTCGGGAAGCTTCTGTCATCGGAGGTCGTCAAGGCACTAAACACCTACTCTGCCGTGCACTGATTCTAGCAGAGGGGGGAGAGAGACAGAAACAGAGTCGTAGAGAGAACAAAGCGGATTGGGAGTCTGGGGGAGTGGAACTCACCAGGAGATGAGGAATGGCTCAGGCAAGCTGTTGTGCACGTTGATGATCAGGTTGTCGTTTGTAACCGAGTAAATGTCCGGTCCGGGGAATTGCCCGTTGATCAGTATTCCCTGAGGTCCAGAATCGTTGGGAAGAGACAGATATATATATATATATATATATATATATATATATATATATATATGTATGTATATATGTGTGTATATATATAGCGAGAGAGAGAGAGAGAGAGTTCATTACAAACAGGTGAGGGAGAGCCAGGTTGAGCAATTCACCTGCTGTGGAACGCCTAGGGGATGGATAACGCCGAAGGTAACATTCCAATCGAAGAATCTATACGGGTCTTCCCCGACGATCAAGCTGCCGAGACAGACGAAGCATACCCCCAAAAGAGTCGCTCCGTACAGCGGCATTCTCTCGGGGACGGCTGCTTCCAGAGACGACGGAATTCTCCTTCCTGTATTTCTCCTTTCTTCCCTCGTTCTCTCCTTTTCCCTCCTCCCCGGGTCTTCCTAGAGAGAAAGAGAGAGAGAGATGAGGGGGGTGGTGGAGCTCTATGATGGTAGAGCGGCTGTTATAGGATATGATGGGTGCGGGTCACGGAAGGAAGCCTAGACTTGGGGGGAGAAGGGAGGAGGAGGCGGCTTAAAGCATACGTGATGTGTTCCTGCTGCGTTCCGTGCGGCGTTAGCACCTTATCGCGTTACGCCACGTTCGAAGGGACGAGATAGTGAAAGCTGAGGCAAATCCTCTGGCCACTGGGCACCGCAGGTGCAGACCACCGCTCCTAGCGGCACCGCCCGCGATACGAACGTTGCGGCCGAGGGGGCTGTTGCCACAGCAGCAGCCGCCGCCCATGTCGGCCGCGGTGGGCCGCGATGGGCCGTGGCGGCACATGCCGCAGCCGGTGAGCGAGTGAGTGCTTGTTGAGTGCGGGTTGGGTGACCGGCGCGGTGGTTATCCCCGCTGTATCCCGCCGGCGCAAAAATTACCAGAACAGACAGAGCAAAGCCTTAAAAGCGGAATCAAGCAACCATGTACAGACGGGGAAGGATCGAGAATGTGGATTCAGAAGTCTGCGGAGAAGACCGAAACACGGCAACCAAACCCAACTGCTTTCGAGTGCAGAGCAACACGTTGGCCACACCGCGCCGTCGGTTGTGGAGCAAGCCGATCACGGGGATTCAATGCGCATAAATAACCTAAAATTGCGTTGAGTGGGCTCGAGGGTTCTCGGGCCTCAGTGTGAAACAGCGGCACCAAGAGTGTGTCGCCAGTAGTTTAACCTTCAAACCAGATTCCAGATCCATTGAGATCTCCCTCTTTCAGTTTCACCCAGCACCTAGATTGTAATAAGCCTACTTTGGCGGCAAGATCAGATGGAATTCTGGTCTCCTTTTAACCAGAGATCAATGTCCCGTCTATTTCTAGTGCCACATTGCGGGAAGCAAAGCAGACCAAGAAGATTTATGATCAATGTGCGCATTGAGTATACCAAACTGGGAATAATTTATATAAAGAAGCCATGACCTGCGAAACTGTACAGAGTTCAATCACAGGGGAGATGAGTTCTTTTCGTTTCAACGAGGAGAATCAACAGACGAAACGCTGATCGTTTGGGAAGGGAAGATAAAGTTGCGGCCTGCCATGGGGCTGGTGCCAAGGGCCAGGCACTACGAATCCGGCTACAGTTTTTCCGATTTTCGGCAGGAACGAGGGATAGAGAGCTTCGTCCTTCCTCCTCGTGACATGAGATTATAATACGAAAGCCAACTACAATTGACTTCTATGAATCGCAAGAAGGTGAGATGAGATTGCTCCTAGCACTCGTGCGTGTATATGGCCTTGGGCAGCAAGAAACCGGCTCTTCTCTCCTCGAAGGAGTACTCGATATCCTCCTGCCCAAGAGCTGGGACAGCAGATGGGATCGTCGCGGCCATCTGCAGAGACGTGATTGCAGTCATGGGGAGAATCGTCTTCGGGGTCGGAAGGGGAGTGGCGGCCATCTGCATGGGAACTGATACGGTCTTGGGAGTCTTGAGCGCTGGCATCTGCATCGCCTGTGGAGTCCTGTTCTCCTCGTCGGCTAGGGGAATGGCGGACCTCAGCGGCGTGCTCATCACTGAAGTCGGCACCGCTGTGTCCACCGGAGCAAATGGCTTCCTCGGCGCAGCTGCTTCCGCTTCCCGAGTGTGGGATGAGACGGTGAATGCAAGCTTCTTTGCGGGGAGACCAGCCACATCTAGGCCTCTTCTGCCTAAGAGACCGCATAGGATGCCAAAATTAGATGATAAGATGCAGTTGTCCAGATCGAAGGTAGATGTGATTAATACCCACCGGCAGATAACATAGCCGTGTCGTCTGGCTTCCTTGTCGACCGCGTGGACTTAGCGTGGGGAAGATCATGTTTGGGAGGTTGTAGCAGCGCTCCCCCTAGAGAGAGTCTCCTACTGCTTGGCCCCCCGGTCGAGGTTCTCGGGACCTTCTTGGCGCTGAGGGTTTTTGAAGGGCTCGGTTTCGACCCAAATAGCGCTTCTTGCTCCGCTATCAGCTGCCCCTGGAGCTTCTTCTGATCCTGCATATTTCAACCAGCAGAGAATTCCCAAAGTCAAGCGTTACCCGAGTTAGCAAGACGGATTGAGATAAATACTTGTGTGATGAGCAAGAAGGGGGGATGGATAGATACCCGTTGCCTCTTGCGCTCCTGCTCCTTCTCCTGTCTTAAGAGAGTGTATTCTTCAAGCATGGAGAGAAGTTGAACCTGCGTCGTTCATGAATGAGACAGATGAGAGCCCGGAGCGAGTCCACAGTGGGCAAATCTTGAAAGCCCGAAGGAAATTTTACTTACCCCGTCATACGTGAAAGGAATGCCCTTTTCTCTTTCCCAAGCCATAGTCTTCGCAACGAGCCCTTCTACCATTGCTACCGAATGAACCCGCGGGAAACAACCGAGTCAGCCAGCCATGAATACAATAATTTTCTATCGCATCGAGATAGATATTATTAGTGCACGCTCACCTGGGATCTTGTTGACTATAGCACGGGCCTTCTCTGCACGTTTCAGAGTCAGGTGGGCACCTCTTCCTGCATTGTAACGATTCTCATCCTGAAAAGAGTAGAACAAAAAGGGCCGTGAGGAACTACAGTAGAACCAGGCAAAGCAGACAGCTTGAAGGAATGCAGAGATCAATCACCCTGTTGTACTCTTCGAGCCAACACTCTTCCTCGCATGCAGTTACCCACTTTTCGACCTTTTCCAGAATATCTTTCCGGCTAAAAGCTTCCTCCTTGGCAATTGAGATTTGGATTTCTATCTGTTCCAGGACCATACATGGGTCGATAGCCCCTGATGCCATAAGAGAAATGAGACAAACTCAAGGTCATTTACTTTTACGGTAGCTTATGGGGTACTTTTTATGGTAGCTTACTCCAAACTTTGCTACTTGTACTGTACCAGATTCTATGGCTTCAACCGCAAATTCTATGTCTCCATTTGCTCCTGCCAACAAATGCGTCCGCCTGCGAAGCTCTTCCAGCTCTGCCTTCTTCTTGAGAACCAGATCTTTCATTTTGCTCGCCTTCAACTCTTCCAGCCTCGAAACTTCGGCCTCCACCTGTCATGACAAATGCATTGATTCATCTCCCCACTGGATACAACAGTGATTCCCTGGCTCTTGGCGATGAAGACTAGAGAACTACACCAACTTACATAATTAATGAAATCCAGAGATAGAGTGCCAGGTTCTGTGATCTCGTGCTCCGCTGCAGCTATATTAGACGTCACATTGTGAAACAATTGTTGCTCCTCAGTGGGTGTATCCATCAAATTCCACAGCTCCAACATCGAAGTAGCAAGGTCTTGAAGCTATGAGGAAAGAGAGTACTTAGCCACAAGCAGGAAAGCCCAAGCCATAGCAAATAGTTTCCATCTCTTACCTTCTGCATTCTTTGTAACTTGATATCTCTCAGACCGTGTATGACAGAATCAAGCCTCTCTATTGTCTCGTTGCTAACGCTGTTTGACCCACCGGTGTCCTCTAAACTCGGATGTATCTGACTAATTGTATGCTTGAAATCCATTCCAAGTACAGAACACAATGAATTTAAAGAGCTTAGGAGATCAAGCACCTGCTTCAACCGATCACTCTGCCAAATACAAAATGTTGAGTAAGAAAGTATGTATATATATATATATATATCAACAGCCAGAAAGTATTGATTCCGTCTACGTGGTTGATATTCAGAGAAGATGTAGTCCAACCTTCTCCTTTTGGAGAGCCTGCAACTGGCGATAAAACTCTTCGAGCCTTTTTGTAGATAAGTCCGATTCATCCGCAACCATCTTTGACGAGTAGACTTCTCCAGGTCTAATCTCATTTGAGATCTTTTGTATTTGCTCCTGAACTTCAAGGAACTGATTCGACCTTTCAGATTTTCTCTTGCGCATCTCCTCTAATTGAGGAAGGATCTCATTAAGCTCCTCCTTTAAGCTTCCGGCTTTATGATTGGACTGAATGTATATAACAAGTGCAGATGGATCAGTAGATCCGAATGAGGATCTTCGTTGCTTTGATGCATATAAAAAGGCTGATTAACTTCAAAAGAAATGACAGGAAAAGGAACAGACCTGCCGGAGATACACTGGACGCTCACCCATTGCTGAGCAAATGGATGCAAGCTCTGCCTCAGAGTCGGCGATTGCTTGCCGCAGTTGTGCTCTGGATCTGCTCGCTTGGTCAACTTTTCTCCTGTATACCTCGAGACACTCCTGTTCTAGCTCAAGTAACAGTTTATCTCTTTCTGTTTCCGTTTCCCCGACTTCGTCCCATATGATCTGAATCCAACACCAAAATTATCGAAGAAAAAACACTCGAAGAATCGACCTCAGAAGAAAGAAAAAAAAACAGACCGACCGTACATGAAAAAAGTTCAAATTTTTCTTCACCCAGGCAAGTGTAAGCTCACCTGAAGCTCGTAAAGAAGAGAACCGCAGGTCGTTTCCATTTGTAGAAGCTGATCGTTTGGGAGGCAGGTCATGACAGTGCAGCTGTTTAACTGGGAGAAAATATGAGGAGTATAAAAAAATAGTTAACAGATGGCGTGGGCACCAACCCCTCCCACCCCCAAGAAAGACAGGTCGTCGTATGCGGCAGAATGGTTAAGAATCAGAGAATCAGCCACAATAAAAAGCACAGCTAATCCGAAGGTCAGCTCCACTAGCGGCATTATAGTTCGCGGCTCGACGCAGAAAATATAATCTGTTTATGAAAACCCTAGCATTGCAAGAACTGAAATCCTAAACGAAATGCAGGGTACCCATGCCCATTTGTTGTCGGTCAATTTCCCCAAAAACTTGAAAGATATCTCGATTCGCTCCGTAGAGCACAAAAATCGTCAAGGGATCGTGGGAAAGCATATAAAAATGATAGAAATGGCTGGAGTTGGGGCGTTACGAAACTCTTCTTCCCCGGGGGGAAAAGAACTAACCAAGCATTTTCCGTAGACATCACCATAAATCAGATGTCAGAAGGAGGAATTTCCCGGGGGAGAAGAAGAAAGCAAAGAAGGCAAGCTTCTCGGCGTACCTTTTCCATTGGATCAGGGATCAGATGGCATCCGCAAACGAACGAACCAACCAGCAGCCCGACGCTCGCAAATGGAAGGATCCGACCGAGAGCAGGAGACCCGGTGGAGGAGCGGGTGTGGAGGGCTGCTACTGTGCCACAGACAGACAATGAGAGAGAAGGAGAGATTAGAGAAACTCCCGACTTTGCTTCTCTCTCCTTTGTTTTCCCCGGAAGACTTGGGAGGCCCCCCCCCAAGATGCGCTGCCAAAGAGAGACGTTGCGGTGCCGGCCGTTTGAAATTCAAATCCCCCGACGAGACGTAGCCGTTTTGTGGAGAGTGAATATGCCACCGACCCTCTCTCTCTCTCTCTCTCTCTCTCTCTCTCTCTTCCCCCCCATTATCATTCGAATTTTCTGTTGCACAACCGACAGATCCGGGCACACAGTGGCATTTTGGACATTATGTTTAAGAATGACTGCATTTTCGGCATTTGATATTACATCACGGGATCTTTTCAGACGGACCGCCATTAGAACTCAGCATCGGATCCCTTCCCTCTCTCCAGCGATTCAGACCACCGATCCCGTTCAATTATGCGGCGGTTTCCTATTTGGCCAGCGTCATTTGCTCGACTCCGGGAAAAGGATACGGCCCTCTCGCGCTGACCACCATTATGGGCACCCAAGACCGGCCCGTTAACAGTAGTGGTGGGCTAGTGGAGCGGGCCTTAACGAATAGCAGGGATGAGCACGCCCCCCGGTTCAAGCTGAGCCATCTCCCGATTTCTTTCCTCCGGTTTCTAGCAGACCCGGAATCTATCCAGGGGGGAAGAAAGTCAAACAGAATCAGAGAGGGGGTCTGACTTTCTTCCCGAGTTGAGGTTTTTACATAACATTGGAAATAGGAGAGGAAAGAGAAAGGAGGAAGGCTCACAGAAATATAAAAAGTGTTTGGATTTTTCCCGATTTATCAATAAAGTCTGTTTATCAAGAGCTCTTCAAGCAGAAACCTAAGTCGAATGAAAACAGAAATAGAGTAAGAAAATAAATTTCAGCCTGAATTTTAATGAATCAGATTCATTAACACACGAAATCTCATTCAACCAGAGAGAATGATCCCATCAAGTCATTAGAAACAAAGAGAAAAATCATGATTTAGCCTCGGATTTTCTCAGAAAGAAAAAGTGGTATCACGTCATTCACATACCCATTGACTAATGCCATCGAGTCAGGCTCATAGATCTTCAGGGATGATGAGATCACCACACCCAAAAAAAAAAATCAAATCGGAGCATAATCAGATGAACTCAATGGTCCAATGGTTTGAGTCACGACTGACAGAACTCTACAAATAAAACCCATCATCTGGTTAAAGCTAAATCATGGCCAAAGGGCTGAATGCAATGGGTTCATACAGTCTGTGATGATCACCATTGATCCAGATTCATGATTATGAGGTTCTGTCAAAGATACTATGCCTAACAACAAGTTAGTTCTAGTTCTACGCCTGTTATGGTATCATTTCACAATAGATATTATCACAGGTATGACAACTGATTCAAAGGGAAAGTCTCAAACCTTGTCGAATAATTGAAGCACCACCCACCAGCCGGCGAAAGAAATTATGCAGGGAATTTACGTTCATAATCTCATCAGCTATGTTGATCAATTTCTCATTTCCTGCAGTTTTCGACAGGCGAGAATGTGGCCCATGAAATCTTCATCATCTGGCTGGAATCAGTGTGCCCTCGCTCTCGTCAAGGTGTCCAAATGATTTCCATCCATCATCAGCCCCAACCGCAGAAGCTATGCGAATTTTGTTCAATAACGTACGTAGATGAGACTAACAGCAGGGTTTAAGAAATCTATAATGCCCAGGTCCCAGCGAGCAGCAAAATAGAGAAGATACTCGAGAAGCGGAAGCCCGAGGATGAACGAGACGGTGGAAAGAGGAAGCTAAATATGGTGGCATAGTGTAGATTGCTCTATCGAAATCCCTTATAACAAGACCGAAGCAGTCCCTCTAGACCGAAGCTACCTCATTATCGAGCAAAACTGGCGAAATTATTGACGAGGACGAACCCCACTCCGGTGTCTGAAGCCGGCGGACTCGAACAAACCCTAGCTGTCGTTGGAGCTCCCACCGTCGCTGTGGCCGAAGAGGCGGTGGAGGCGCGCAGCGACGAGGCCACTGGAGTCGAGGGACGCCTCCTTAAGGAGGCTCTCCTTGATACTCGACATACGGGACGAGAGGAACTCGTTCTCCTCCCGAAGGGCGGAGTTATCCTCCTGGAGGTCGTTGATCCGGTACTTCTGGCCCAGCGACCGCATGCTGAGTAGCAGCACTCCGGTCATGAAGAAGAGCTGTAAGAAGCTGTCCTTCCTCTTAATCGCGTTGGCGACGAAACCCAGCGGCTTCTTCCTGGGTTGCGGCTCCTCCATGCCCTGGTGCACCGCCATGGCAGCCTGACCGCCGCAACTCCGGCGGAATGATCGATCCCCTCGTGCCCTGTTTCGGGGCTTTTGTTCGACAGGTGTTTATAATCACTCATGGTGATCGTAAGCAACCAATCACCTTCCCGGTCCCACGTTCCCAACCCCCTGCGATTCATCCCGTCATTCTATATTTTAGGAGCCACGCGGGAAATAATTTCACTTCAAGGAGCACCCAGATGATCAGGAGGCGGAAGTTCGGTTGAAAATTTCTAAAGATCTCTTCCTTCAGGAAAACCCACAATGGGCATTGACAATTGGGAGAAGAACGACTGCGGCTGGTAGTTAGTTCCCACGACAAACCAAAAATATTCCGTTCATTCATTCAAAAAATCAGATAAATCAAGTGCCCACCACATCTTGGATAGATGAGGAAATGGCAAGCACTGCGTCCAGAGAGCTCGGTTCCAAGCAATCATCCGATCATGATGAACCCTGGAATCTGTTTGATGCAGTGCGACATGGAACTGTGTTTCATGTTTTTCTCTATAAAGAAAGGAAGGATACGTTCGTTCAATCGGAAACAATGTGCTCTTCTGCAGATGGGTTCAAAAGTCTCACCTACTCCAGCCACCCACGGATATGTTGACCCTGGAGGACAACGGAAGATCAACTCCAACGAAGCACGCGATTTTCCTCACAAGTCCAGGTTCCCACGTTGTCTGCCCTCAGGACTGGTGGTCCTCGTCCATGAGCTTGGAATTCTACGGCGCTCTTGCTCTTCCAATGCCGAGCTTTGGCAGGCCACGGTTCAGACCATCCAGAAGAACACAAGCTTTGCACCATTTCTACATTTGGATAAAAAGATTTGAATCCTAGATTAAAGGCATAGACTGGGGAAGACATGAGTAGCGCTGCTAAACAGGGATGAACTCGATTAGAATAACTAAGGGCAGTGGATGAAGGCAGAAATTTAGAGAAAGATCAGCATTCTGAACAATATCCCATGAAGTAAAAAATGGGTTCACCTGACTGGATATATAACCACAACGCTCGCACATGCCTTGCTCTGGCATCTTCGTTGAGTTGGATATCCTAAAATTTTCTCCAGACCGGATAATGTCCAGTATGGCTCTGGGCCTGGACACAGATGAATTGATCCATTCGGAAATGGGGAAAACATAAAACGGGTAAGAAACAAAAGCGATGCGAAGCTTAAAAGAAGAAAAGATATAAAATCTCCACTCGATTTCATGGTAGTGATTTAACCCACCTTATCTTTTCAAGATCTTTAATAAATTCCCGAGCAAAGCCGCGATATGCATTGGGAGAATAAATGCCTACATGAGAAAATGACTTGAGTGAAATACTGATAAATAAGGGGTTAGAACAGGCACTCAGCAGTTGACAAATATAGAAATAAAATCATAAGAAGCACCGGTAGGGAGGTAGCTGAAATTCAAAACTAAAAATATTTGCATTGAAGATAAGTGGCATTTAATTTCGTTTTCAGACGAGATCCCAACGGTTTTAAACAAATGATCAATTCAGGAGTCAAGACTCTCCTGTTCAAGGTGTCCTCAGAAGTATGACTCAACCAAGGCGAGATCAGACGGTAGTACAACACTCTGTTGTACAGGGGGCGATTGTAAAGGACACGGACGTAAAAAAGTCCTTTTCCACAAGAAATTAACAGGATTGGGAGTCACTGAACCCTCGTTGAGACGTTAGACAAACACAAGCTACAGGATCATCTAAAATTTTAACATTCATCCTCCATTACAGCGGTACAGATGATGAATGTTGTATGATTCCAAGTATTTCATTTTAATAATTCAATATTTATACAGATTATTGAAGATTTTCTAATAGCGAGTTATTCCCCCCTACTAAGCATTCACGTCAAAGTACTGGATCAGACAAAAAGCATAGTAAATCATAAGTGAGCGCTCAGAGCTCCACTAATACACCCAAGTGATCTTCCATTGAGTCAGCCTAGAGCGCAATGAAAATTGTACGATTATTAATGTTTGCTTAAATGGGCCGGCATTACATACATGGATAAAGAGTTCTAGCAGCTGCATAAACTATACCCATCTCATCAGCTTCCATGCAGCAACTCTGCATCTAGGAACATACAGCATAAAATATCAGATCGGAACTTTTACTTACATTCCGTGGAGAAGTAGTCCAGTTTTTTGAAATATGCATACGTAGAAATTGTCAAGGTTCACAAAGTCACAAGGCAAAAATTAATAATTTATATTAACCGGAGATAACATAAATCATAAGGATATATCACAATCTCCTTCTCATAGGTGTACTTGAAGGGTTTGCATCTTGGGATGGGCCCATCTTCACCAGTGGTTATCTGGGTGCATCTGCCCAGCCTATAAAACCCAATACCACAACTCAAGTAGTAGAAAAGAAAGTTTAAGAATACACAAAAGGAACAGAGGGTACCTGGAAATTTTTTTACCTAGCAATGTCACCCCGTAACAAGTTTAAGAGGACTGTCTCCGCAATATCATCTGCATTATGGCCAGTAACAAGCTTGTCTGCTCTCATCAGCGCAGCACCACGGTCTAGGGCCTATAGATGTCGAAGAAAAGCATCATTTCAAGAATGCACTTTCATTGGATATTTATGATGCCAGTTGGCAAGTATTACAACTTGTAAAAACTCTCTTCCCTCAGCAGTTGGAAATGCAGATAGGGAATCCAGTAGTTGTGTTATATACGAGAAAAAATTAATGTTTAACTGCAAGAGACGAACCTGCTTCAGGCAAAAATATGTGGCTCGAGAACTGGAACATAGTACCACCATAAGGTTGAATTTTAAAGTTTACAGCAGGATTCAAAAGGTTTAAAAACATCAAAAAAAAATCTTGGCGGAGATCAATTAAGTCCATGAGAAAAGCACCCATAAACGATTCCTTCTAATATCATACCAAATCAGGCCCGTTCACAAACAGTTTGAAACATAATACGCATCTAAGCCAGTTCAACTACATATCCCATGAACGAGTAGCAGCTCATACCACGTATCTCTAAAGACAAATAGTTAGTCATGCAAGATTGAGCCTATTAGAGCTTGATCGAGTCAAACGGCGCAACACCTAGCTACAGTAACTCCCATATGAATCGCCAATCCCTTCACTGCTCCTTCTCCCATTGTTTATTATAAACTCCTAGAAAGAGGAGTTACAGTTAGAGAGAAATGGAAAAAAAGCGAGGATATGGGAATGTTCCATCAACTCAGCATCAGTGAGAGTGTTTAAACGGTAAGGTAAAACGTATGAAGCGACAGACAGAAGTGGGCATGGATGGAGCCAAGTGACTATTAGAGGGATTATCTGTCAAGATGTTGAACCAGGATAAATTATACCCCCTCCATCAGAGTTGCTTCTTCGCCCACATCTGCACGCCGAACTAATCACTCCTTGATGAATGATGTCTACGAGGATATGGGAATGTTGCATGAAACTAGATGTCAGAAAAGGTTTCGATACTCGGTTGATGCCCTTGGCACCAACGCACCAAAGGTACGGCCAGAAAGTTTCTACCTGCTAAATAAAGGTGTCCATTCTCTCTCTTATGTTCGACATATTCCACATCATGAAATAATGTGAGCTGAACTCTGGGACTTTTCAAATTTTCAACAGGGTGTGCGTTATGTTACCCTGTGCTCCAGGTATTTTTTTAGCTCACAGAAAGGCTGTGAAGTGCCCGCTCAACTCATCTAATAGCCAATACCGCTATGCAAAATATATTTTAGTCGTAACAATGATCCAGATAAAAGTAAGGGCAGTACCCGTCCAATAAAATAATGACAAACACCAAGATGTTCCACAATCATTCAAACAGAATTAGATAAACGTAACAGCAACATCACGGAAATTTCAGTCCCAAAAAGACATACCTGACGGCGAAAAACGCCACAAAATGTGCAGTTGTTTTTTAGACCTATTGACTTCACTATTTCATCCATCGTCCAACCATACAACTCCTTGTAAGAAACAATTTTTAGCGGCAGGCCATACTGCGAAAGAACAAAGAAACAGAAATAGTACTGTGAGGATTAACTGACTGAAATGAAAGATAAATAAAGAATTTAAATGCAGAAAAAAGAAAGTAAACAAATGCAAATGATGTGCGCAGAAGCAATAAAAATGCAAATTTTATAAATTTGAAACATGCAAAATTTTCATATTCATTATCAAGTGAAAGAAAAGGATGTGACATAGAATCCTCCAAATTACTGAGTTTTGAAACAGTGAAGAAGTCCATCTCAAGAAGAGAGGAAAAAGGATAATGTTACGAACCTCTCAAGATTTGGGGCGAAATCTTCACCCTAATCTTACCTTAGACGAGGCTCACTCAGGGAATCAGATCTCTGTGTATAGAAGAACCAAACAGAACAATTGAAAATGAAATTGGAAAGACAATAGAGGTTCGCAGACAGTAGGGTGAGTTCCTGAGGTCGGATCGATCCTCAGGAGCAGGAGAGCCCGAATCAGACCTCTCCAGGGACAGATCTCTCTCTCCACTCTCTGTTTTCTTCCCCCCCCCCTTATTTCGGCCTCTTCTATATTTATAGGCCTTAGTACCTTATTCTATTGTGGTCCCCCCTCCACGTGGGGGTCTAGGTCATCTTGTGTAGACGACGGTTGGCTTCTTAACAGATAATTACCATTTAAGTTGGTTATTTTCTCTCAAAGATCATATGCACATCACTAATGTTGAACAAGTTCAATCACAAGCATGGTTTTCATGCACTACAAATTACACCAAAAAAGACAGGGCGTGAAATATAGAAGAGAAAGATATCATGTCCATGGAAAAAAAGATATGGTTAAGACCAGCTGACTATCTACTGTTAAACATATCAAAACCCAAATAAAATTTGGGAGGTCAAATGAAAGCTTGGGAGAAAATCCACGAACTAAAAACATTATGCAAAAGATGAGAGACACACACCTGAACTTCGTTTCTTTTGACAGTTTCAAGAGAATCATCCCTGTAACCAGTGATGCCCTCATCAACAGATAGCAGGAAGAGATCTAAGCCATAATTGTACTGACCGTTTAATTTTGATAATACATAAGCAAGAACAGTTGAATCTGCAGAGTTAGAAGAATATCAAATCGAGTATCTCCCTTAATTTGAAAGTTCATCAACTAGCATATTCTAAAAGATGGAGCACAAGGTACATCAGTACACAATGACAGAATAGCTATGCTACCAAAAAGATAACTTCGAACTATCAACATTCAAGCCGTTATTACAAACTATCAGGATGGCACAGAACAAATAATACTCATAATGATTCATAATAACTAACCGAATAGTCTAAAATACTGTGAACGCAAGTTGAAATAACAACACATTCCTAAGAAAGTCTGCATCCTGCACCTTAGCTGACCACAGCAACAACCTCAGGAAACTGATTTTTACTGCTTAAATTCAGCTTGAGGCTGAAATAAAAAAATTTAGATCCCGGTTACTTAGCCTTCCCAGTGTTCACACAATTACTCGGGTTCATCCTCGGTGCTATGAAAAAAATACATTACATTAAGAAAAAAGAAATGGAGCGGCAGGATCAGCATACAAGAACCAAGAAAGGCATGTTACAAGGGTCAAACTGAAAAAAAAAACTTCAATTCACCAAGCTATAACTCTTTATCAAATGGACAGAAAAATCTTTACACGCAATTCGCCACAGTTGACAAACTGCTCAGTGAAATCCTACAGTCTACATATGGCATGCCTATGGACAATCTTAGGTTCGTCCAAACCTATGATTCCAGAGCCATGAAGTGCGTTCACAGTCCAGTCAAGGACAGAAAGAGGTTTCGGAATAAAACATGCCTTACAGTTAATTATTGACAAAAGGGGGACAGAGGTCGGTCATTGGCGATACCTTTTCCACCAGAAGCCCCAATGGCAACTCGTTCCCCTGCCTTGAATAAATTGTTGTCCACAATAACAGTATGAATTTCCTCCTCAAACACTGCGTAAAAGCACTCCTTACAGATCTGGAAACGAAAGTTTCTACGTTTCAGACTCTTCAAAACACGTCTAGTGTTGAAGAAGAAAAATTTAGAAAAAGAGTTTTTTCAGGGTCAGAGGAACCAGCATGCGAGAACAACTATCCCGCGAGGGAAGCCCACAATTACAGTGGTAACATAATAGTCGACCGATGCTAGTGGGACAACAAGACTGAGGATCTCCATAACCATCTGGTTTCCAAAGAAGAGATAATGTGCGAGAAGCTAAAACTCCAAAGAATAAAACGCAAGGCTAGAAATCCAAACACCAAAAGATCTTCTGAGTTGCTTGGCAGGTGACTAACGACGGCGCGGAAGCAAATATATTCCCCACCCCATAGGTAATTCAACACGAGACTCTGATACCACATTCAGTGCATCCCATAAATGAAACGGAGAACTCGGAAACGACAACTTCCGCAGAGTAAATAAAATGAAGGGGTGAGAATAAAACACAAGTTACCTGCTCGAGGGTTTTAGGTCTCTTGAGGGCAGCCTTGTTCCCTTTGCAAAGGCAGCAGAGACGACCGGCTGATCTCTTCCTCTTCTCCTCGCCAGCGTCCATAGCTCTGAACACCCCCAGCTCTCTCTCCTCTCTCTCTCTCTCTCTCTCTGTGCCGTTATACGTTCTCCCGCGGGTGCCTCTCTCCCCCAGCGCCTCCCGCTAGCAATACTTAAACAGCTTTGGACCGCCTGCCGATTGCAGAGGATGCTCAGTCAGAACTCGGCCCATTCATCGTCTCCCCGCGGTCTTCGTGTATTTCGTACACGGTTACACCGGATAGACCCGGTTACACCGGACCGCAGGCTTCGTGTATTTCGTAGTAACTTTGTCGCGTCTCTGGAGATGGTCAGTGCGTTGACTTACGTCACACACCCCACCCCCCCAACCCGGTGACAAGTCGGGGAATTATTTCAATGGACTTTACAACCAGATGAGAGAATGAAATCCCAAAGTTCTGCCCCAACCGTCCCAGAAAAAAAATGGGTACAATCGATTGAACATGGTAACGGGCATCGACTCATCTCGAGTTAATCTGCATCGAATGCACGCCCGGCAAGAGATGTTACACAGAAAACAAGGACGAGGAGAGGGGGAGCGGGGTTGCATTCACACAATCAATCGTCCAAGCCTAAAACTGCTACCGGATAAGCCGTCATGGGCCCTCCTCCCTCTTCCTCTCAAGAGCCAGAACCCGAGCCCGATCCAGCTCCCCGGCGGCGTGCGGCCCCTCTCAACATCTCGAAGTATTCCTGCAAGATTGATAAAAGCACAGCCTTGAAGAACGGCGGGCAGCACGCAAAGGGGGAGTGGAGTCACTTGGAGATGACGTACGTTTGAGAGCTCCTCATTGTCGCAAAGGAATTGTAACAGATCTTCTATATCGCTTTCCCCTCCGTACAGCCGTCCCGCGCTCTCGATCATATCTCGGAAAGCATCGCCCCGGGGTTCTCCGCGTCGGAGCCGCTCGATGATCGACCGTACATCGATCTGCAAAACCAGAAGAGAAAGTCAAAACGACCCATTCATTCCATGCGAGGCCAACCCCACCCTCCCAGAATGCCATTCAAGCCCACGCCATGCAGCGGTTAGAGTGAGAGCGAGAGAGAGTTTTAATAGCATATTCCATTTGAACCTTAAACTTATTACTACCCTTTATTTTTTTACCCTCTAGCAGAGATTCAGACATAACTGACTCGCGGGTTTTCTTCCTGTTCTTCCGAACTGATTGAGACAAATGATATTTTGACCATGACAAAGGGTTTTCTGTTCGTTTAATTCTATAGAGGATACAATGGTGGGTTCCTCTTGCTCCTATCCTAACATACGATTTTTCCCGAGAAATTCTAAGCATCAAAACCCGAATGGCACAGATACATAACTAATCAGAGAAAGAAATAAGTACCTGAGAGGGGTCTTCTGAAGACTGGTCGTCACTAGGGAACCGACGATCACCGCGTGGAGCCTGAGACTTGGCCTCGACATCAGGTGACGGCGCACCGGGACCTGTTCCCAAAACCTGGGAGACGACGGGAATCATCTGCTGAAATATTGTTGAAATATCAAAACCGCCTTGTCCCCCCAATAAACCCAGAAGGGAATCTCCGGTTTGAGAACCCTTCCCCTGGGCCTGCTGAGCTCCCGGCAGCCCGGCGGTGGAACCACCGCCACGTCTTGAGTCTGCCTGCGATACAAGCGACTGCAAAACTTGCTGACCCATGGCAATAGACTGCGACTGCGACTGTTTACCTCTCTTCTGAGTACAGAAACGAAATAAACGGAAAGTGAGGAGCCCGTCAGACCGGCATTTTGAGAAGCAAACAACAGAAGAACGCCAAACAAGTCCTGCGGTGGCCATTAGAAGTGACGAGTTTTATATGCAAGGAGCCAAAGAATTTCGTCGATGCTCACCTTGGGTTGCAAACCCCCAAGTCCTAACCCCAGAGGAACAGGTTTTTTCTCCTCAGCCCGCAGGTTACTCTGACTTGTTCCGGCGATCTGAGCGGCTGGATAAACTTCGGGATCGCCAGGTACCAGCCGGGTTGCATCAGGTTTGATCTGGCAAGTAGATGCATCAGTACGAACCCGATAGCAAGGGCAGATAAAGGAATAAATCACTGTAAAAAAATAATAGTACCCCCGTGCTTTCAGTTGCAGATTTGTCACTTTCCAGATGCTCCAAAGCATTTCCACTACGGTCTACCGTATCAGGCTCCCTATTTCCCCGTGGCGGGTGCTGACCACCTCTCTCAGTTTCTGATACAGAGGAGGAACCTAAATGAGATTGAGCATGAGATACGTATGGTCAATTACAAACAGGAAAATCATTCATTTATTAGTATTCATCCGGAGTAACAGATTGTGAACCATCACCAGCAGGTAATGAATCGGGGGTTGGTGAAATACTAGCAGATGAGCCAGCTTGCTCGTTTGCAACAGACAGAGTGGTAGCACCATCCCGCATTACATTCAGACCACTTCCACGTTCAGTAGTCTGCAAAACTGCAGGGCCCTCATTCCTTAGAGACCCACTATCTGCAGGGCCGGAGACATTACCAACAGAGTTTGATTGCTGGCGTGGAACAGGAATTGGGTAGATGGCACTTAGGGCCTGGCGAGATGCTTCTCTTGTGGACTGTGCTGGAGCTGCTGCTGTAACAACTAGTCCCGATGGCAATCCCTGTGCTGGCGTTGACCCTCCTGTGGCATTTCTGTTCATGCCCACAGGATCGTGCCCAGTATGTTCGCCACTGGTAGTCCTTGTCCCAACAGATGATACACCAGCAGCTACAGGTGTCCCTGATAATCCACGTCACATTATAACTTGAAATAATAATAATGAAAATTTTCATACCAGAATGTATGCACATATTGACATGTCAGCAGATTTTTCTTACCAGAATGTACGTGGATATTCAAACTTCTGAGAGCATCCCCTGTTCTAACTTGCCCAGGGACTCCGGTGCTTGCAAGTGGGAAATTGGGTGAAAGCCCAAATAGGGGAGTCGTGTGAAGTACAGGCTGCACAGAAACGCGAAATGTTAGCAGTAGACAAATGTAAAACAAGGTGGCCCAGGAAAAAGAGAAGACGGTGATCATTTCTAATAACCTGAACCATCATAGGACTTGGTCCTGCTGCTGAAATATAAACTGCCGGTCCAGTATTAACAAAAGCTTCCGCCTGTATTTTTGTGAACGGTAAGATCTACAAATAAGTACTGTAAAGAAAGACAGGAAGACCAAAATAAGCAGATAAAACCCAGAACATACAGGTGATTCACCCATGCGCAGGGTCAAGGTAGCACGGCCAAGTTCCAATAGCATCGCGCCTAAATGCTGCATTGCCACTCCCAGATGCATTGCCTGGTTCTGAATCTGACCACGCACAGCTGGATCTGTAGATGATCCTTCTCTTGCCAGACGCCCTGCAATATGCTACAAGATTGTAGCATTCTTAAGGATAAGTCATCTATGTAAACTAATGCTCAGGTTGTAGCATTCTTAAGGATAAGTCATCTAAGTCATCTGTGTGAGACTTCGAAAATTATCAATTTTCTGTCATTCTTACACACCACTAACTCCCTTGTTGTCAGTGCCTTTGCACGGAAAGCATTTTTATGACGCTAATTACAAGGATTTAGACAAAACTAAGAAGAAAAGAGCAGCTTAACAAGACACCGAAGCTTCCAGTAGAGTCTGTTAGTAGACTGAACGCACGAAAAAATGGGCATTTCTTTGTGTTCAAATAGCTAGCAAATAATTCAAGAAATGGATTATCTTCGTCATTGCAAATACCTCACCATCCCACGGATTTTACAAGAGGCTATGGAGAAATCAAATACCTTATAATTGGCGTCAAAAAGTATTCCTCAAGGACCAAGTTATAGGAGGATGTGGAGACATCGAATCTGATAACAAACTCCAAAATCTACCAACAAGGTAGGACTTACCGAGAGTGCAGCGGCTGCTTGCCCATGGACCAACCTTTGTGCTTGAAACATTACAGCACCTAACAATTCTGGGGTTGGCGACCCAGATGTAGATGATGCCAAGTCAGAACCTGAGGAACCTTCACTACCAGGGGTAGGTGACTGATAACCTACAAGGGACAAAAGAGCAATCAAATTATACAGACAAAAAAAACAAGTTCTGAATATAAGAACATTGGAGGATGGATAACACAACCATTAAGCAATAACGCCTGCTCCAGACGACTGATGAAGGAAGAAAGAGTCGTCAAAGAAGCAAAGGTTGCCTACAAAGATCAAGGGGAAAACCCAAAGTGCATGTTTTATACAGGACACAATAAAATTAAGAGACTATTTAAAAAAAGGACGAAAACTTACCAGATGAAATGGTTGAGATTGAGACTGGTTAAAAAGCGGAAATGGGAAAAGATTTGTGGAAATTGGTAATTGATTTTCCGTTGTAGTTCCCCCACTGGTAGAATGTGTTGTATTTGAGTTAATAGTTTGTGAGGGATGGCTTGATGAATTGGGCTGTAAACATAAATAACACACTTAGAGGATTGAAGCACCTATTAGACAACATTAGAAAATCAACTGCAACTCACTGCAATGCCCGATGAGGAACTGCCAGCAATCCCTGAATTGCTTGTCGGAGTTGCAAGGCCCAGAGAACTAAGAACAGACCCAATAATCTGTGGACAAACACAGAAAGAGGACATAAAGAGAGATATCACGTCAATCAATTATTACACTACTAGGTCTCAGGTTCGGAGAATACCCGAGTAACATCAGGCACAATGTTTTCACTCTGGTCGCTTATGCTGATGGGTCCGAGAACTAAATTATGCGATACTTGCCCAACAACCCCCATCCTGTTCCAAGGAGCACCAGCCGCAGGATCATTCCCTGACAAACAGATATGATGAAAGAGATTGAGAATTATTTTCTTCATTTTAGTTTTTTAGCCTCTAATTTTCTTCAAAATTAGTGGACAGTAGCAAACATGTGGTGTCCACATTCCCACCTGTCCCTGTAGAGCTTGTGCCAAGTTGACTTTCACTCTGAACAGCCTGTCTTGCAACTAGGTGGATTGTATGCCCGTCTTCAACGTCTAAAAATAGTCAAGGCACATATACAACGTCTAAACCGAAAGAAACTCAAACAAACGAAAAATCCCACTAATCTCAAGTGCATGTGAAGTGACACATGAGATTATGATACTGCTTCGGAATATCGCCATTATTCCGAAGCAGTCATTATGATAAGATACTAGTTTCATTAAACAAGCTGATTCCATGGAAGATCACCATTAGTACCCCGCCTCTCTTGACAGCATGTCCCCACACTAACCAATTGCATCCCTCATAGGTTGAGCAAGCGAGTTTCACACCTCCGAGTCTCTCCTTTCCGGCACAAGGCAATAAGACAAGTGGCCTTTTATAACAAAAATATACTGGTTTCTGGCAGTAGTCCTCTAGCATCCTTGTTCTACTGCGTCATTAGTTCCATAAAATAACGAACTATGCAAAGAAGTTTTTCAACGATTTACTGCTGCATGGTTAAAAAAAAGGAAAAGGATACGGTAAGCAGACAAAAGATCACCATCCTTCAGAACCTTTCCCCTGAAAATGAGTCGTTGCAGCTCTACTGGAAGACCAATGACATTTGCTATTTTCTCCTTCAGCGTCAGTACTGGCATCTGAAGAAATGTTGTAGGCGTATGACAATATACTAAGTTTAAGGAAGATAAAGATGAATTCTGAACACAAAATCAAAGCGGTCTACACCATAATGTAACTCAAACGTTCTACAAACCTAAAAAATTTACATAGAGTCCTACTAACGGTTTTGAGTATATAACACGAAAGAATCAACTTACACTGTGGTGCATACAACATCAATAAAATTTCAAAAAGACTCGGCAAACACTGTCATTCTTATCAACATCAATTGAAAAAAAAAAGAATAACAGAGTTTGTAAGGAATTACATTCTTGTTCACTCGAAAAGGAAAGATTTGAGAATCCAAGGTCTTGACATTGATCTCAACAGTAGCCTCCGAACTTTCATCACCAACTTGACTTGAACTGGAAGCTTCAGCGGAGTTTTTGTCCGCCATTCTGTTTGAAGTAATAGCATACGAGTCGTAAATTTGACTAAGCGAGCACAAACAAGCATGTAAGAGTAAAGGAAAATGGCAACCAATGTAAGGATATTGTTTTTGCTCATTGAGATCCTAAAGTTCAAGACCCTGAACGTAACTCCGCTTTCTTTAATAGAACTTGTGACACAGACGTCAAAACAGTTACACAACATAAAATTTCCTGATAGTGGACATACATGATATATTTTTTCAAGATGTGTATATGGGCTTTCCGTCCACAACATGGTCGAACGAGGATGACTACCTGTCCTCATTATTCTTAAATGACTAGAAATGCGCTCCACCGTTTGTAAAAAGAAAGAGAATATCTGAGGTAACCTTCTTCAAATTTGAGCATTATCAATAGCCTTCTCTCACCAACGTTGTTCAAGGTCTACTATCAAAGCGATCCTGATGCATATTTCATTCAAGAACAATCGAGAATGCCTCTGAAGAACCTACCCCTCCCCAGGTGTTCATCGAGAAAGAAGCTCGATATTCGCATTTTCTTTCCTCTCGATTAAGACATAAATGCCGCTGCGAAAACTGCCCAGAGACATCCCCCGCACCCACACCCTTCTCCAAGAAATCGGTAAGCAAGAATTCTTTCCCGAATGTCAGGCCTAACTAGCTTCCACCAGACAACTCGGAAGATAAATAAGAAAGATAGAGATCCCTAATTCGCGAAAAAGGCCGCCAGCAGACCGAGCGGAACAAAGAAATTAAACGAGCATAGGAAAAAAAACGTCTACGCAATTCAACGAAAACCATGAATGATCAAGATTTGAGCGAGCCGGTAGGCACCTCGACTAGAGGGGATCCTTCTCGCACAAGCCCCACTTCGCAGCAGCTCCCGAGCGGAGTGAACGCGATCCCACTCGAAGAACAACAGAATCCAAGACGCACTGCCTCCCCGGAGAGGACTGGATTAACCCACCCTTTTTATATCGGGCGTCTGCTTTCCCCTCCGATTTCCAGAAAATTCCTGTGAGTATCGTGCTTCGCACGTCGGAGGCGGTCTACTGGACCGCCTTGCGGTTCCGATTGAAGTCCCCTGTACCGGGAACTGTCACAGGCCCATCGAACGGTCTGGATTGCACGCGGCTCACAATTATGCATCACTCAGTAGCGCGGTAAAAGTAAGTGGCTCATAACAACCCCCAGAAAATTCGGTTCAAAACGTTATGTACATTTTAATTTGAAATATACAATAACATAAATAAGTAAAATAAAAATACGCATATTTTGTCGTCAGAAAGTATGTGAGTTAATGGGTTCTGGGTCGACTAATCTTACCTTCTACTCATTTTTTCCTGGAAGTATTTTCAATCAATTATCTAGTGAAAATATCACAGCGTGTATATTAGGCGATGGCATATATATATATATATATATATATATATATATATCTTGTGGAGAATGCACAATTTTACTAACATAATTCCTAAATTTAGGGTGCTAAATCAAAAAATGTCTTCTTTTCTTGCACACTGAGCAATTTGTATATCACACACAAAAAAAATAATCCAGGACGCTTTAAAACCCTGGGAATTTCGAAAAAATATTCAAACCCGTAATTGAGAATCCCGTCATAAATGCGAGAATCCAGAGGGGAGTCCCAAAGAGTGAGAGAGAGAGAGAGAGGGAGAGAGAGAGAGGGGGCTATAGAAAAAAGGCGATTCAACGCGCCCGCCGAAAAGGGTTTAAAATGAAGAGCGGATTTATAAATCGTTTTTTCTCGAAATTGGGAAAATACTTTTTTTGGCCCTGGGCGCTCTTCTGTCCGCCTCGGGCAGGCACGTACAGGCAGCCCCCGAACATTGTCTCCTCATCGAAGTCCTTCCCCCTCCTCTCCTCCGCCATCTCCACCACCACCACCACCACCCCCTCCGGCGACGGCAAGCAGGGGGCAAAGGGAAACGACGACGACGACGAGTGAGGGCAAACCAGGACAAAGCAGGAAGGATGCACGCGAAGTCGGACTCGGAGGTAACGAGCCTGGCGGCATCCTCGCCGCCGCGGTCGCCGCGCCGGCCGCTTTACTACGTGATGAGCCCGTCGCAGCACGAGGCAGAGAAGATGTCGATATCTTCCAGCCCCCCCGCGTCGCCGTATCACCAACACCACCACCCGCACCACCACCGGTACGCTAGCTCCCCAATCCACCACTCCAGAGAGTCCTCTACCACGCGCTTCTCCGCCTCGCTCTGGAACGGCGGCCCTTGGAGGAAGCTCTCCTACGCGCGCGACGGCTGCGAGGAGGAGGAAGACGACAGCGATGAGGAGGACAACGCGTGGAGGCGGTCGGGCATCCCGCCGAAATGCTACGCCGTGCTCTTCGTCCTGGGCTTCGTGGCCCTTTTCTCCTTCTTCTCCATCGTCCTCTGGGGCGCAAGCAGGGCCTACAAGCCGAACATTTCTGTCAAGGTCACATATTCCCTTCGTCTCCCTCCCTTCCCACTGACTCGTCTCAGCCGTCCCCCCAAGCCGAGCGGACCTGGTTGACAAGACCGACGAATCCTATCCCTATCTCAACTGAAGAAATGATTTTTTGTCTCTCCTTCCATGGCAGAGCATCGCGTTCCAGAGCTTCAACCTCCACCCGGGGATGGACTGGTCGGGGGTCCCGACCAAGATGCTGACGATGAACTCGACGGTGAAGATCTCCTTCCGGAACCCGGCTACCTTCTTCGGCGTGCACGTTTCCTCCACCCCTCTCGAGCTCTACTTCTGCGACCTGGTCGTCGCCGCCGGCCGCGTAAGCTCCCCTTCTATCTCCCTCTCCTCTCCCTCTCCCTTCCTCCTTCCCTCCCGTTCTGCAGGTCACGAGTGTTTGTCTGCTTGTTCCACTGACGAGTAGATGAAGGAGTTCTACCAGCCGAGGAAGAGCCAGAGAATGGTGACGGTGAGGGTGGCGGCGGAGCAGGTCCCGGTCTACGGCGGAGGGTCGACCTTCACCAGCCTCGGCGACGGGGAGGCCCCAGCGAACATCCCCCTCAACCTGACCTTCGTGATGCGGGCTAGGGCGCGCGTCCTCGGCAAGCTGGTCCGGTCCAAGTTCTACCGTCGGATACGCTGCTCCCTGCACTTCACCGAGCCGCACCTCCGCAAGCCGTTGGATCTCTCCCGCGTCTGCCGCTACCGTAGCTAGCCCCGGCGCTGCCGCGAGGTCGGTCCTCTCCCTCCCCTGTTAATGCCAGTCAGAGGCCGCTGACACAGCCTCCTCCCGTGTTAGATTTTGTTGAAAATCGGTGTTCTGTTCTGTCCGCTGCAGAAGTCAGAGCGGCCCGTGATCTCCGTGGGTCATTGGTTGACTCTGACCGTGGGGCCCGTTTAGTTCGGGAGGAGCAGGAAGTATAGGGATATGAATCGCATGTTTTAAAAGGTATGAAGGCATTTTATTCAAAGAAAGGCTAAATGAGTAGGATGCACAAAGGAGCAGTAGCATCAACTGAAGCACGCAATGGGAGGAAGGTACATGGATGGTTACATATTTTCTACACACTCAAGGCATATGCGATCTCCAGAAACCAGGGAAAGAGGAAAAAGCGAGCGAGGGTGGGTCCGGTGTTCCTGAAACAGTTCCTGGTTCACTCCGCGCCGTTGGTCTTGTAGCCGGGGATCTTGTCCATTATCTTTCCGATGAAGCCCTTCTTCTCCTTGGCGGCGGTGGGGCTGTCGCTTTCGTGGTGGTCCGCGGGCTCGGCAGCTGCCGTTCCCACCTCCGCGGGCTGCTTTGGATGGCCGCCGCCAGGGAGCTTCTCTTTGATCTTCTCCAGAAGGGTCTTCTTCTCCTGGGTCTCCGACTCCGGCGGCGCCAGGTTCTCCACCTTCTCCACGGGGATGGTGTTGTCTTCAACTACGGCAGCGACGGCCTCCGGTTGGGTCTTCTCAGCTCCTCCTGCGCCTTCCTTCTTCTCGCCCGATATCTTCTCCTTGATCTTTTCTTTCAGACCTTTCTTCTTCTTCTTCTTTTCCCCGTCAACTTCTTCCTCGTCGCTCGACTGTTTGCGTTCAAAGAGGAAAAACCAAACGCGTAAGGTGAGTGAGTGAGAGAGAGAGAGAGAGAGAGAGAGAGAGAGAGAGATCATATTTTCTGGAGTCGGTTGGAAAGAAATCATACCGAGCTGGAGCTGCAACTGTGAGATCGGTGGAGAAGGCCCTCCGTCTTCTCTTTCTTCACATCCTCAACTCCCTCCTCGTCCACGTGAACTTTCTTCTCAAGCACAGCCGCGATCACGTCCTCCCGGGCCATCTCTCCCTCGCCCTCCGTCGTTTCCTCTTTCTTCTCACCCTCAGATCCCTCCTCGGTCACATGGACCTTCTCAAGCTCAGCAGCGAGCACGTCCTCCTGGACCTCCTTGGCTGTGGAATCAAACTCGCCAGAGTGCCTGTCGGCCATGACGATCAAAGCTCTCGACTTCCTCCGCAGACGAAGAGACGACGAACTCCAAAGGGAAAGTCGCTTTGATAAGGAGCAACCCCACTGGAAGGAAGTAAAGCAGCAAGCAGACGGCGAGCATATGATTCGCTGTGTGCTATCGGGGTTTAAATAGACCAGCAGAATCGTGCGTTACGCGTTACCTACGCGACGAAGTAACTATTTAATCTTTAGATAAACATGGGAGGCCATTGGCCTTTACGTTGATATAGTAACGTGACGCACGGAGAGTGAGTGAGCGAGAGAGAGAGGCTTTATTGCCGACAACCGAGAAGGTATCTATCTATACGTGGCTTGGGTTACGTGGGCCAATGATACTCTCTAGACGGTGATGTCGGCGTCATCATCTGCGAGGGGCGGCAATGGTGCATGAGCCCGAAGTCGGTCGCCAGTCCTCGCCGGACCCTTCCCTCCGAGTTTAGCTGGTCACCGCCGTCGATGGGCTCGCCGACGGTGATCCTCTCGGACCCAAGAGGCCATTGTCGGGCCAGTCGGGGGCACCCGGAGGAGACTGTTTGGCTCGTCTACCATTCAAACGAAAGCAGCCGCCATCTGGTGACGCATCACGCCGCCCCTTCCTCTTGTTTCTAGCGGGCAGTCGCAGTTGTTGGAGTAGGTTAAGAGGTGACGAAGGTTTACTTGTCTTCCTCCACCCGGAGTCTGCCGCACTTCTCAGAACTATTATTGAACCGCTGCGGGGGAGCATACCCACTAAAAGACTATCTATCCCTTTCTCAAAGGGAATAATATTGTTATTCATTTAAGATAATATTTCCTGAATTTCTGATAATAGTTATGACTTGTGGGTCTGACGCGTGCCGGATCCATATTGGGCCTTGGAAAGAGGCCCACTATAAATGGGCCTAGGTGCAGCAGATATTGATGAAGCCAAAGCTTGGTGGAAGCTAAGCTGAAGATTGGGCGAGGGGAGTGCGGGGAATAGAAAGTTATTAAATCATACGAGATAAATCCGATAATGATGGGAGGACTATACCTTTAATTACGTGCGTATTTATATGATATAATAAGTAGCGGTTTTCTTCTCTTTTTTTTTTACTAATAATACGCCATTAAGTTCAAGAAAATTTTAGGGCACATGCCGTACGCCGTCCAAGAGCGACCGCCATCTTTTAAGGCGGTATTACGATCGTGAGAATTATTATTTCAACATTAATTGACAAGTTGGCTCGATTTTAATATTATATTTATATTAATTTGGAATAAACACGCTTGGGACTTGTTCTTCACCTTGGAATCTCCACGACGTCATCTCACGCCATCCAGTCCAACTTGGGCATAACGTGCTGCTGGGCCGTGGCCATACTTTGACTATTACAGTGTACGAGCAAGACTTCAAACAACGAACTGTACACCCCCCCCCCCCCCCCGCCTGCCCCTTCAATATTTCGTCTCCGAGATAACATTTTAAATAGGGAAATTCTAAAAAAAATTAGTCAATTCCCCTGATCGGGGACCAAGTCTCGAATTTATAGAGCACGGGCCGGACCGGTCGCTCGGTGTTGCCCACGTGGTTTTGACTGGCCTGGTCTTACGAGAAAGCTAAGCCCCAATGGGGATTACCAGGCTGGCCCCAGTTCCGCCACAAATGGGTTCATGCTGGGCTCGGGCCATGTGGAAGCCTGGTGGGCCACGCCAGAAATCCAACACTCAGCTAAGTATAGAAAAAAAAAAAAAAAAAGAAAAAAAAACGGGAAATTTGAATTTCTTCAGCGAGCTGATGTATTTCACCCTCGGAGTTTTGCGGTATAGATGACATTTTGACGGGTATGGAGAAATAACTGGCCTTCACTGAAAGACGGTTCCATTAAATCTCTCTAATTGAATATCTTGAAAGAATCGCACAACATCCAGCAACTTGTTTCCGACGTCGACCCGGTGACGACCCTCGTCGCCTAAAACCATAAGCTCGCTCTTTGACTGCGAGCGACACTTAAAATCCGGAGTCATAGCTATTACTATGTGTATTTAAAAGTCGAGGGAGGCGGTGCGGTCGTGATCACACCAGGCGGAGGGTCCCCCACGGCGTCCTCAAGAAGGTTTAAAGAACCGAAACTTGAGGCCCTTGATGACGATGCTCCACACGCCGGCGATGACCAGCAGGATGCTCAGGGCCATGCCCAGCACCCCCAGGACCATGTTGATACCCCACATCAGGCTGTACCTCTTGGGCTTCTTGATGCTCAGCCACATGAAGCACGGGTACGACAACGTCACCGGCAGCGCCACGCCACCGACGAGGCTGGCCATGTCGGAGAGGAACGGGAAGGCCACGCCGATGAGGAAGGCGATGGCCCCGAAGAGGACGCGCATGGCCGATCGGAGCCACTTCGGGCAGGGCTTGTTCTTCTTTTTCGTGTAGCCCGCCTCCATTATGTCGAACATCGGCATCCCGTAGATCTGGAAGGCGCAGAGGCAGTTGACCACGACGAGCATCGCCGTCAACCCCAGCACGCGCTTTGAGGTCTCCGCGCCGTGGAACCTGTACATCGCACTGAGAATCCCGTTGGGTGGTATCTGCAATAGCACGGCGGAGGGTTAGATTTTGTGAACCGTATCAGATGATCATACTCGAAACTGATTATCAGGGGGGATGGCGACTGGAAATATTTGCTCCTTAGTTCGCTCCACACGTTTACGCACGCGAAGTGAACCTTCGACTGACTATATCGCACGGTCAACGCCGACGGAAAACACGCAGGATTTCAAATGTATAATCACATATGAACGGATCACCAAAGCAATCGACTGGTACTATTTTTCTTTCTCTTCGGGAGGTTAAGTTTTGATAGTAGTAGTTTACTAGAAATGGCCAACCCCAGGAAATAGCGGGTGCATGCTTACCAGATTGCCGTATGCCCAGTAACCGGCGATGGCAACGGGGAAGAGGCACCCGGCGATGACGGCGCTGGCAATCCTCACGCCTTTCCACATAGGGACGCGAGAGGGGTGCTTTTCGGTTGATGGCATCGTCGCCTGCAGCAGACCGGATCGAATCAGCTGAGAAGACCCCAGAAAAGATCGTACATGCTTGATGAAGGTTTCCAATTCATCCTCTCACGTTACCTGGATCTCCAGAACGAGGTTATGGCCTCTGAAAGCAAAGGCGATGATTCCGATCCCGTTCAGGACCCCCAGGACGCTCTCCACCTCCGATTTGCCCTCCACGGTGGTGTAGGATACGCCCTCTGGCCTCCCCTTGGCTAAGGAGAGAACCCACAGGATGGTGCAGTAGGCAACGGCGGTGATCGAGCCGACGAGAGAGACTCCGGCTATGGAGTTGAGGTTGGGGAGCTGGGAGATCAGGACGGCCGCGCAGGTAAATACCAGGTACCACTCGATGGCTGTCAGTGGCTTGGACCGGCACTCGGGTCCGCAGACGATTTCGTAGAAGAGCTTCATGCTTCCGCCGCCGATGATGATGAGGGCCGTGCAGATGCCAGCCGAGAGGTACATGGTGGGAAACTGAACCAGGGCGTTTCCAAGCTTCTCCCCTGCACGGCGGAGTCGATCAGTTCTCCTATTTAACCATGCCATGGTCACGGTCACAGAGAGAGAGAGAGAGGGAGGGAGAGAGGTCTCACCGAAAGCCTTCAAGGAGAGTTGGAGGTATCTGCTGTAGCGGACTCCAGACTCAGATTCATGAAGTTGGGTGAGTATCCAGAGCGCGTACAACTGCCACATGAAGCCAAGCGAGAGGCCCAAGATACCCCACACCCTGCACAAGCGAGAAAAAGTTCTCTTAGGCGTCATGAACGGAAATGGGAGGAGGAAGGGTAATCCTCGGCGGGTTCTTCTTGTCTTACCAGCCGAGGAAGGAGAAGGCAACGGGGAGAAGAAGCGCCTGGAAACCGATCCCAGCGCAGAGAGTGTGGAATGCGGCGTAGAAGGCGTTGCCGCTCCTCGACTCCGTGATGGGAAGCCAGGCGTCCTGCGGGTCGAGTCTGGTGAGGTGGCCGACGTCCTCGAGGTAGTCCCTCACCGTCGCTGCCGCTTTCCTCATCGGGCTGGCCAGCGGCGTGATGTACTGCATAGGCGTCCTCGGCGTTCTCGGCGTCTTCGGCGTCTTCGGCGTCATTGGCGTCATCGGCGTCATCGGCGTCCTCGGTGTCTTCGGCGTCTTCGGTGTCTTCGGAGTCTTCGACGTCTTCGGCGTCACCGAGGCCTTCGGCGTGGAGGGCGCTAGCAGCGGCGACCGCGACATGGACGGCGAGTGGAGCTGCGACGGCGGCGCGGAGATGACCGTCCTGGTGTACGACGACATAGTTGGAGTCGCCGGCCAGGAGTAATCCTCCACCACCTCCTCCTCCGCAGCCCTCGCCATTCTCTCCCCCTCTCCTTTCCCTCTTCTCTCCCTCAAACTACGACAGATGAGGCAGGCTACCCTCCGGTGCCTTCGTCTTAACGTGGTTGTTCTTGTGGGGAGGATACCCCGTCAACAAAGGCAGCTCAGGCGGAGCCCGCCACCCTTCTTTATTCGGCCTATCATATGAAAATCCCTTCGCCGGCTGCGGCCTCCGAGAGGGTTGGTGAGGGATGCGGCCAACGTCGGACGGCCAGGCGGCCGCCGTTGACTAATCCCCTAAGAAAGGCGACAGGAACCGGTGAGGGAGGAAGAACGTGGAGAACCTCCATGATTGGCTTCTTTCACTGGCAGACATGCAACAACCAAACATTAAATATAGTAGAATGATCTATAATGTTCCATATTTCGTATTGTCGATTAACGGAGGAAAAGCTGATCACGGAAGATAATCTGGACGCGCGCACGGTCCGTTGACTCCCCCAATAAATCGGTTCAAAGAAAGATAACCCTCGTTTGACAGCTCCCTCAGGCATCAGATATGGACGCACTTCCGAGACTTTATTGACAGCAGAATGTCGCAAATGGCCCAGGGAAAGCTCAAGAAGCTCGAGTCCAAGCCGTAGTTCGGGTGGTAGGTAACGTGGTACCATGCAGACGCCATCTTCGGCCGGTCGTCCTCACTACAGCCGTCTCGGAGCCAACCCCCCGCCTCCTCCTGCAAGGCCCCGATCGCCACCAAGATCCGGTCTTTGACTTCGGCGTACCTCCGCCTGTCCGTCCGCAAGTACACCGACCTGTTTCGGAGATTACCCGTCAGAATCTCGTCCTCGCAGGTTGCTCCGAAGTAGTCCATTAGGTCTCTCAGTTTCTCCGCGTACAGGTCCCTGTGGCCCTTTGCGGCGTCAAGAAAGGCCTCGAAGCCTTTGACCTGGAGGTCCCCGTCGAAGTTGACCGGATTCGAGGAAGCCGCGCGGGGGTGGCGGCGCTCTGCGATCCTGTTGTAGAGCTTCCCCAGTACCCCGCTCGAGGTGTATGTGGGCTTGTCCCATCTTTCCATGAAGTCCGGGTACTCCTTGGGCCTGAGAAGCTTCGGCATCTCTGCCGGCGCCCCGGATTTCGCGAAGTCAACGGACGCGGAATGGAGTCTCGCCAGTTGCAGGCAGGCGCCGCTCCGAGCTTTGCTTCGCGCACGGTCTGCATGGACAAGATGGGCTGTCGAGATCGCTCCGAGGGTATCATTGATCATGTAGTCCACGAAGAACCTCTGAATTTCCTGCCTCATTTGACCATTGATCGCGTGAAGTCAGCCCAATAATAATCCTAAGCTCTCCGCATCATAAAAATGTATATGTAGAGAGAGAGAGAGAGAGAGAGAGAGAGAGAGAGAGGTGATGGAGGATGATGCATAAAATAATATCAGATTCTCGAGACAGAAGTGGAAATTTGTTTCTTCATACCTCCAATGTTACCTCATGGTCCATGATACGAGGCCTACGGGGGATGTAATCCATTGGCTCGTCAGTCGTCGGGGGGATGAGATTTTCGTCCCAGGAAACAAAATACAGGTCGCCGTCCAGGTCGCCGCCGGAGCACTCACTTGGATGAGGCCTGCGATGAATCAGAATTGTCATATAAGGGGAAAAGAAATCGTTCACGACACCATTCTTTCGGCGAGTTCCAAAAAAGAGCATCGCAGTTCAAGCTGCGATGATGACGGTCTGTAAAGTTTGGTTCGACGAGGCTTGATTAGCCTTCATGGCAACAACATTTCGAGATTATCACACGAAGAACCATTTATCTTCCTCCCGCAGCCGGTTAAAGGCCGAATCTTGCCCAATATGGTATAGAGTTGAGGGTCAACGTTCATGCCGGAGCTAAAATCACAATCAGCTAATTACACCAGTGAGCCGTAATCCTTCTTTGCCCGGAGCAGAATCCAAAGGCGAGGACTTACATCGCCGTCGATACTAGTACCAGCCGTCGCCTTGGATCTCTCATGCAGGCAGATCCGTCCTCTTGTAGGAAGTTGTATAGCCAAGAAGTTTTGTAAAAGAACAAAAAAAAGAGGGAAAAAAAGGGGTTCAAAGCTTGAGATACGAGGTACTACCTCTCTCCTTTCTGGGGAAAGACGATGCAGTCGACCAGGCCCTTCTCCTCCAGAATCCATTCATATACCGCATCAAGAACTCGAATGTCGCCCGGATGGAGGCAGGGGTTCTTCGTGACGACCACTTTCCCAATCACAGCCGCCGTCGTCCCGTCGATCTTTCTGAAAAAAGCTCGGTCTCCGTCTTGCAGCTCTGAGCTCGTCATGGTCACTCTGACGTAAACTTGGCCGTAGTTCAGAGCGCGCGCTTCGTCCAAGCAGCCGATCAGGACACGGCCCCTGGGTACAAATATCCGGCACTTACTCCTCATCTCAGAGAGCTGGGATTCGTGGCGAGCTTTGAGGAGCATGGAAAGATAGGGTTCGGCGCTCGGCTCGTAGCCATGAATCAGCATCTTCATGGCTGTTCTAGCGTCACCTCCGGCCGCGCCCTCCAGAACCTTCATGGCTGCCTCTCTGTTATCAAGCATTTCATCCAGATCGCGCATGTTCTTGCGCTGAAGATCTTCAAAGACTTCATCCCTCACGCCCAACGTTGACAGAAGACAGATGATCTCCCTGTTCAGATAGCACGGCGTGCTCTCACTCCACCTGGTCACATTGAGCATGGTGTTCGTCGAATCGAACTTCTGCATGCTCCTTCGCAGCGAGAGCTTCCGGAAGGAGTTGCGATCGATGGCTACAACGCCCTTGTAGCCGCCATACCTTATCTGGAAGGCGGAAGGGGTGTGATTCAGTCCACACTTCTGGGCGACTTGCCTGGCAAAGGACAGAGAGATCTTCCCGATCCCATCTGAGAAACAGTAGTCGATCCCATTTGCAGAAGCTTCAACGTCCTGAATAATCTCCGCCTCCTGGTGGGGGACGTTGAATGTTTGGATCGAGGAGCTGAATAGCTGGCCCATCCTCGCCGCACATTTAGAAACGCTTCTTATTTTATTGAACCGACCCATCCAGGCTCTGATTTCCTCTGCCCTGACACCATGGTTGGAGGCGAACATCCAGGCCGAATGTCCACGGAGTTGACTGGCAGAAAAGGCTAAGAACTCGAACTTCTTCTCGCCAATGGAGATCCCTTCCCTTAGAACGGAGAATATCCGGCGGTAAATGCTGGTCCTGTAGGGCTCTGAGAACGCGCCTGATTCGATCCTCGTTGAGATCGCATCGGAGGGAATCTTACTCCAGTCTTCCTCAACGAAGGATACTCGAAGGAAATCGGAGGCGTATGCAACGTAATGCTTCAGCACATAGTTGGATGCTTCCAGCTCAGGGCCCACAAGGTAAACCCTCGACGGAGTCACGAGAGCTCGGTGGCAATTCATCACCGTGTTGCTCGAGGAAACATGACTCCTCTGATCTCTCTGGGCTTTGCCCGAGTGATCCTCGATGAATTTCGCAGGATCGAAGCAGGTGGATTTCTCCCTCCGCAGCTTCACCAGGATCTGCCCAGCCTTATCCACTGGCAAGCTGCTTAATCTGTGAAAGAGTCTTGAGTTGACTTGCCCGTGGGAGATCTTCTGCGTGTGCACAAGATAATTAAGTTGGAAGAAGATCTCATATGGCAGAGGCGAAAGAGGATCGAGTCGGTAGCTGATAATGGGAGGAAATTCTGATGAACAATGATTCTCTCTTCCCTTGGTCATACGTAGATCACCAAGCGATTCATAGAGAGGAAGATTTCTAATCGCATCTTCCAATCTGGATGATTCCCCAGGGAAATCCAGACAGAAATACGACGATTGCCCAATAGAGCGGGATGCTGAAAAGTCAACCGAGCGAACCCAGCGAAACTGAAAGTCCTCTTTGCAGAAATGGTACCGGTCAACTCTGAATCTTGGCGTAAGAGTGGGACCAGAAATTCTATGGTATATCCTCGGTGCGTATTTCAGCTTCAGAAAAAATCAAGAAAAAAATCATGTCAGATGCCAGTCAAATGGACGAACAGATCTCTTAAGATTAGTCAAATGCCCGAGAATTCAGATGCAAAGTCCGGCGGGAAGGTGAGTCTGAAAGGTTCTCTCTGACTTTGTGGAGCTAATGGGAATAAGTAAAATCGTGATGATCCACAGACGAAAGAACGAAGTAAAAAATGCCAAAGAAAGTATGCAGATTTTGAACGGACCTTTGCGCCTGCTACAGATTAGACCGTGGACTTTAAGGTTTTTAGAGTCTATGGTCAATTTTTGATGCTGTATGACTCCCAAAAAACCCGTCTGATGACATAATCTGCCATTCCAATTCCGTAATGCGAAGTTCGAGTAATGCGAAACGGAAGTTGCGAAGTTTCCCTTTTCTCAGGGGGGAATTCCGTGCAGGGATTGTACAGGAGGAGCAACTCGCATGAATAATAGATGACATTGTCTGAGAGTTTCCTGATCAATTTGTTCAAATGCAGATGGCGCTACCTTGAGGAGGATTGCAGTTTCTCTCTCTTCACGCACGGAACAGATAAAGCTCCCGCTGATATCCCCAAACATTATTTCCAGCTTGTAGAGGCGCCCCTCCTGCTCCAGCAACACCTCCACCTTCTGCCTCTCCGGCATCAGCTCCACCCGGACGCCTTCCCAAGTCTCGAGCACCTCCATCTCGCGTTCTCCCGAGAGGAAACCGGCGCGCAGAACCGCTCCGCACAGGCGGTTCCGGGGCTCCGCCGGCCTGACGATGATGTCGTCGAATACCTCGGACAGGAGGAGGCGCGCGCGCTGGAAAACCCCCAGCCGGCCGTCGGCGTGGCGGCGCAGGGCCTCCTCGGCGGCGTCGACGGTCTCGAACTGGATTCTCCCGGCGCCGCGGGACTTCCAGTTCTCGTGGACGGTGAATATCTCGCAGGCGAAGACGGAGCCGACGGCGCCTTCGAAGAAGTCGAAGAGCTCCCGCGCGACGGCCGTCATGGGTATGCCGGAGACGCCCACCGTCGCCCTCGCCGGCGCCATCCGGGGGAAAGCCGAGCCCTCCTCTGCCTGCGAGGGAGACGAGCTCTCGCGTGGTTCCGCCCCCGCCCGGATTTTAAACGACGCAATTTTTGCGCGACCGTTCGGGCTCTGTATAGGAGAGAGAGAGAGAGAGAGTGAGAGAGAGAGAGAGAGAGAGAGAGAGAAAGAGAAAGAGAGGAGAGTACCCACGTCGTAGAAACTCCAAAATATTGCCTTTATTGATTAATATCAAGAGATAGCATTCTATTATTCCGATTATTCGGGACACCTTGAACTTCTGGAGAGAGAAAAAAATAGAAACTGCTGCCAGATTACACAAAGGTCTTACCAATTTGGATACAAAAATGGGGAAATATCCGGGCAATGCAACATGGAGCTATGTATGTATAGATAAAAATGAAACGCAAGCATGCGCATTCGACTGATTTCTTCATGACCTGGACCGCCTGAGAGCGTCAAAGCGAGCTGTGAGCTCTTCGTAGTCCGGCAGTTTGGGATGCACACGCGAGACCGCCACCGGAGGGGGGCGGTCAGGAGGGGGATGGCCGCAACCACCGCGGCCGCCTTCAGAGTGCCGCCGTACTTCTTCAACCTCTTCATCAGCCCCCGAATCCAACCCGTCCGAATCATCGAACCTGATTTCCGGGCGCCTCTTTACCGCCCGCGCATTGCAGCTGTGCCTCCTCTGAATCTTCTTCTTCGTCCTGTCCAAGCCGACATCATCTTCGTCATCATCGCTCAGATGCCTTCCCCCCGCCCCCGATCCTCCACTGTCCATGGAAGGCCTCGTCTTGCCCTGTGAACTCTCCTGAGCATACAAGATATTGTCCAAATGGGTGACGTAATCGCCCTGCTGCGAGCTCCGCCTGGCCAGGTGAGCTGCGGCCTGTGCAGCAGCTGTCGCCTGCTCTGCCAACTCCATTGCCGCTTGGGCAGCCGAAGCTGAGTCCTTGAACTGCATAGAAGATTTTCCCTCGTTCGAAGATCTGACCACAGGTTGTAATGTCGAGAATCAGAAACCCAGAAGCGAGAACGGGACCGCCAAGCTTAATTTTAGACAGACAGACAGAGGGAAAGAGAACCTGAGATCTGCAGCGTTTGGGGAAGAATTCCGCATTGAAGTACCTTCCCTATCTTTGTACACGCTCTGCATGGAAGGCTTCACGGGCATGCTCGAGGCACTGAGGAACGAATGGGGCCCTTTCTGCATCACACGCCCAGATCACAAAGAACAGAAAAATGAGAGACTATAATTAATCATCACAAACCTGCTGACGAGCACGATGAAAATCTAATCCGAATCTTTAGAGCGCTCTAAAAATTTTCTAAAAGAGAGGGAGTGAGAAGAACAGGGGAAGAGCGTTCTGCACGCACCAGAGGTTCTTCCGGGGGTTTGAGAAGCTCCAACTCTGATTCTGTGGTATCCCACTCGATCTGATACTCCTTTGCTATTTCCTTCATAAACTTTAGCTTCACTTCGCCGCTGGGAGTTCTCACTGACAACTTCTCGATCAGCTGCAAGGAGACCCATCAGACAAACCATTGTTCGTTCTCGAGGTAATTAAAAAAAAAATAAACTAAACGTATCATAGATTCATGAGACAGGGGATCGAAGAAGAGTCGGGGGGCGGGGGGGAGATCCCTACCGTCCGGTTCACGCCGGACTCGGGACGTAAATCTGTGGCAGCTGAGACAAAATCCTTGCCATACTTCTTCTCGAAGACGTCGCGAAGCCGCGAAAGCTCGGGGATATCCGAACACCTTGGAGCCGCAAAGATTAAGCTGGAGATCCCCTCTTTCAGATCAGGGGGGCAATCCCTGGACAATGAAAATGTAAGATGAGAGCACGACTCCACATGCAGGGATGAGCAACGAGAAGATGGGTCGACTATCAGACCTTTGCTTGGCGATGATCGGAAGGCGCGCCACAATCAGTTCGCAGAAGAGCTCAATGATCTCATTTGCCGCCATAATATTGTGCTCTCTGATAACATGCTCGACCTGGGAATCAAGAAAAAACTACTTGTAGCCCACCTCTCTATACGAGACTCCAGCGATTATTTCGCATAAGACTGGACACAATTTGATAAGAGCCGTTGAAAACATCAGCCCAGGCAACGAAGGAGAAAGTCATATGCCCCGTAACCCCTGTTGTAAGCCCGAAATAGTTTGATCCGAAGGATTTGTCTAGAATTGCATCTGGTTTTACAGATACCTAAGGTAAATGTGGCAGTAGCCAAACGGAAAGGAGGGGAGTATCTAACAAAGATCCCCCATTGGATTGTAGGATAAGCTAAGCTTACTATCATCTTCGTCTTCTTCCCTTAAACTCTCGGCAACTTGAGAGCAAGTTCAGGGTACCATCTGGGAACTAGTCAAGAAATAAACTAGATTTTTTTGTATAAAAAAAACATTTTATAGGAAAACTCTGTCGTTACAATGATCAAGTAGAATAACTTGCATCGATATTTAGTGCATTGAATCTGATGAAAGATCAAAGGGTACTGGGGGTAAAATCTAGTGGAAAACCCCAATCTCAAGTTGCTGCGGTAACAAGATGGAGGAGGGACGGACGACATCCAACGAAGAAAAATTGAGATGTTTTCAAATAAAGAGTGGAGGCGAGAAGATACCCTGATGCGGGCGGTAGAATCCTGATGGCCCTCCAAGAGCATGGCGACGTCCCGCCGCATCTGCCTCACCTGGACCTCCCTCTTGTTCCTCAGCAGCTTTATTCTCGCCACCGCCAGCTTCGCCTCAGTTTTGCTGAAATTTGGGACCCGAAGTCAATTGGGAACGAAAGAGAGACGGAGAGAGAGAGAGAGAGAGAGAGAGAGTGAGAGACGCGTTACCATTTGGAGGAGTTGAAGCCAACGCGACACAAGGACAACCCGGAGCCCATCAACTTCCGGAGGGACGCAGCGGCAGCTTTAGCCTCCGAAGGCATGGCAGAGGCCGGGGGTTGTGGGAGGTGGGCGAAGGGTGAGTATGTGGACGCGGCGGCAAGCGGCGAGTGGCACGGACGGCAGAGGGCGCAGAAGGCGGTGGAAGGGTTTCTCACGGAGTAACGGTAACCTGAGATCCAAACGTGGGAATCCCCTCTCTTGCCCGTTGAGTGGGCCCGCGAGGCTCCGTCACTCTAAACGTGAGAAGGCGGTCGAAGCTGTCGGAGACTCGGAACACTTTTACGACACGTAGTTCCGAGCTGGGAGTGGGCAACGGCTCTTTCTTGGTCTAAGTTTCGCTGAACCACATTCGTCGCGTCGCTAAGAGAAAGGCGGCCACGACCAGCTTCGTGTAGCTCAAGGATATCCCGAATACGAAATTCTGTGGAAGAAAAAGGCTTTAAATTGTGTTAATAAAATATAAAAATAACATTTTATCGATGAAAAAGTGAAGATCATAGACACGAACGATCTGGTCATTCTTTTGCAAGATAATATAAAAAATGTTTATTTTAATATTTTCGTCAAACCACGCTTAGAAATGGATCATAAACTGGAGCTGCAATTGGTTAGACTTTAGATTACATTGAAATCCTGGGAGGAAATGAGGGAGAGGTTTCCATTTCGTTGTGAGAGTGATAGAGAGAGAGAGAGAGAGAGAGAGAGAGAGAGAGAGAGAGAGAGAGAGAGAGAGAAAGAGCGTGCATATATACAAACACAACGGACGCACGTAGTACAGACATCCAGACTTAGATTGGGATGGTTAATACTTAGGGCGATCCTGGAGAATTGAACCCTCCAACCTAGCGAATTATAAACTCTCTCTCTCATACACGCACACACATACGCGTACTCAGGCCATGATAGAGTCAAAGGCAGCCGTCTTCTTGCAGCTGCCCATCTCATCCCGCCGCGCCCAACAACCTTTCCGCAACTCGCGTGAGGCGTGTCCCCATTCATTCATTCTATCTTAGCCGGAGTTGTCACATCCTTCCTGAACCAAAAAAACTCAGCGATAACGCTCGGAAACACCAAGGTTAAGATATGGATGTTTCCATGGATATAGATTTTTATGATCCAGTTCCAGGGACGAATATCGTACCTCTTTAGCTGGCAATCGAGAAGATTGTGGAACATTACCAAGATTAAATATTGTTCCTCCGTATCTTCATCTATGGATTAGACCTCCGCTAACATCATGGGCTCTTAATAAGTATTTTACAAGTCAACGCTCGTGAAATATAAGGGCGCAGAGTCATCATAAACGCACGATAAAATACAAGGTGTGACCTATTGACCTTAAGATTGCTGCCATAGCCCACACCGAGGAAGGAAATCGGTCTCCGATTGATGTTGATTTGAATCAAGATTGCGGCCTAATCATGCTTGTGGGTCATATAGTCAGTGGGTTGTCAATGTCACTCGTCTTTAACGTGCGCCGATGCCATCTGCGAAAAGTCAAGGTAAACGCGGTGAGGTTTGCGGCCGCCGTAGCAGGATATTTGAGCTCCGCTCTTGTCCTTTCTGTAGCCGCCGGGGGAGAATACGCACGCGGGGAAGAATAAGAGTAAGGAGGAGGAGGAGGAGGAGGAGGAGGAGGAGGAGGAGGAGCCGACAGGAAGGGTAGGAGCGCAAGATCTGCCATCGTCCCAGTGTGTTCTGTTGTTTCTCCTCCATGGCGCACGACGGCGCAGTCGTGGACCCTAGGAGCGGGTTCTGCCAGTCGAATTCCATCTTTTATAGCAAGCGCCGTTCGGTTCTGCTTCCCTCCGTCCCCTACCTCGACGTGACTACCTACATCGCCTCCCGCCCGCACACCGGCAAGGTCGCCCTCGTGGACGCCTCCACCGGCCGCAAGATCACGTACCCAGAGCTGTGGCGGGCAGTGCACGCCGTCGCCGCCAGCCTTTCTCAAAGCCACGGCGTCCGCAAGGGCGATGTGGTCCTCATCCTGTCGCCGAACTCCATCTACTTCCCGGTGGTCGCCCTTGCCGTCATGTCAATTGGCGGCGTGCTCACCACCACCAACCCGCTCAACACGCCGGGAGAGATTGCGAAGCAGGTGTCAGACTCCAAGTCCCGGTTTGCCTTCACCACTTCCGCCTTGCTCTCCAAGCTCTCCACCGGCGCCGCCGCGTGCCTCCCCGTCGTCATTCTGGACTCCGATGCCGAGCCCCCGCGTGACTCGCGGGTCGTTTCCAGCATTAAGGAGATGATGGCGAGCGGCTCGGGCCGCCGTGCTGCGTACGAGCATGTGAGCCAGGACGACACGGCCACGCTTCTGTACTCGTCCGGAACGACGGGGGTGAGTAAGGGGGTAGCGTCGACTCACCGGAATCTGATATCGATGACGGAGATCATCATCAACCGATTCAAGCTGGACGGTTCAGTCGGCGGCAATAACCACGTCTTCCTCTGCACGGTGCCGATGTTCCACATCTTCGGCCTTGTGGCCTTCGCGACAGGGATGCTGGGGTCTGGGTCGACAGTGGTGGTGCTGTCCAAGTTCGAGATGGGGGAGATGATGTCCGCCATCGCGACCCACCGCGTCACCTATCTGCCCCTGGTGCCACCGATCCTGGTGGCTATGACCCAGCACGCGCAGGCGATCCGAGCCAAGTACGACCTGAGCTCGCTGAAGTCGGTGCTTTCAGGCGGCGCGCCGCTGAGCAGGGAGGTCATCGAGGGGTTCGCAGAAAAGTACCCGGGGGTGGAGATCCTGCAGGGATACGGTCTAACGGAGAGCACCGGAATTGGTGCATCGACGGACTCAGCGGAGGAGAGCCGGCGTTTCGGCACGGCGGGGATGCTGTCGCCGAACACGCAGGCCCGGATAGTCGATCCGGACACTGGGGAGTCCCTCCCCATGAACCGCTCCGGCGAGCTGTGGCTCCGTGGGCCTTACGTCATGAAAGGTGAGGACGTCGGAGCCCTCCATGACTGAGAATTCTTTTGATAGATGGGGAAATTGGGGAGATCTGTAACGGCTGCTTCGATTTTGCAGGCTACTTCAGCAACCCGGAGGCGACAGCGTCGACGCTGAACTCGGGGGGGTGGCTAAGGACGGGAGACCTCTGCTACATAGACGAGGATGGGTTCCTCTTTGTGGTTGATCGCCTCAAGGAGCTGATAAAATACAAGGGATACCAGGTACCCTTCTCCTCCTCTCCTTGTACTGGCTTTCAATTCCACTACCTCCCTGACCTGTGAGAGACCCACTCCCTCCCCCGGCGGCCTATGCAGGTCGCTCCGGCGGAATTGGAAGCGTTGCTGCACACACATCCAGACATCCTCGACGCCGCCGTCATACCGTAAGTGACCATCCCCTTCTCGCTCCTCCCCTGGGCCACTGCCGCGCTCGACGCTGAGATGCCTCCTGCGCGCTGAGCTTGCTGCAGGTTTCCTGACAGGGAGGTCGGTCAGTTCCCAATGGCATACGTCGTGAGGAAGGAAGGGAGCCGCCTGTCGGAGGCCGAGGTGATGGACTTCGTCGCCACGAAGGTGGCGCCGTACAAGAGAATCCGGAGAGTTGCTTTCGTGTCCGCCATCCCAAAGAACCCCTCCGGCAAGATACTGAGGAAGGATCTCATCAAGCTCGCCACCTCCAAGATCTGAACGACGAAATCTGTCCATTCGTCGACCCGATATTCAATGAGTGATCGGTGTGTCGTCCCAACTTTCTTGTATCGTCAATAGAGTGATTTAACAGCAAAAAGATTCCTATTATTTTCTTGCTTGGGGTGGGGGGGATATGTGTTGTGTCGGCAAGGGCCATTCTGGCGGGCGGGATGGATAGTGCCTGATGCCTCTTTATCGCGAGGTCCCAGCTCTTTAAAGATGAGGCTCACCGGTTGAGACTCGGGATATTTTCTATTTTGACCTTTTATTTGAGCGTGGAACAGAGAAGAAAATTCCGAGAAGATTTACTCATGCGTCCTCGTCCAAAATGGGCCCAATGCAGAAAATCGTAGAGTTGTCCTCTTAACCGAACACTAGGCTCAATTGGTGCAGCCTAGTTTTACGGTTGTAAATTTTTTCTCGGATTGTATTGATCTCATGTCGTACCGTGCCCTCGTGTTGTTGGCCAAAATATTCACGCCTATCTCAAATCGTCAATTTCGGAGTAGACTTACGCGTGAACCGACCATGGACATCGACTTTCCTACCGTACCTGTTCTGTCGCGCTAGCGTAGTCGCAAGTGGGAATTGTAAAACCGTCGAGGCCAATGAGAGATGGAATGGGGCCCTGAAGGTCTCGTCATGTCTCCACTGGGGGAAAGCTACCACTCTGCAAGTGCAACGCAAATCTCACCGGCTCATCACGCTCCCGGTTTGCAGTTGGAACCAATCTGGCCCGGTATTGACAGCCCAAGAAGAACAAATCATAGACAATTGGACCAGGGAGAGAGAGAGAGAGAGAGAGAGAGAGAGAGAGAGAGAGAGAGAGATGGCCGCCCGAGACGGAGTTTCCTTGGAAACTTCGCGGAGTCCCCCACGCGACTTCTACAGCTGTAACCGTCAGGGATGGCCAGGGTTAATGGTCTCGCTGCAGCCCCATTAATAGTGTCCTCGTTCGAGGACCTTTTGCAGCGACTGGAATCAAGGGGACGCTTCTCTGCGGCGGCGGCGTCTGAGAGCTGGGACCCCGCTGTCCGGACTGCCTTCTTCCTTATCTGGCCTGCAGAGTCAGGGATGACGCCCCGCGTGGAAGGAAGGAGGAAGGTCGAAGGGGCCCAGCCCCCTTAGCTCGAGTGAGTCTAACAGCTGTCTTCTTCATGGGTGGGCACCGGCGGGATATCCTTCTCCTTTTCCACAACGCCTTCGCCGAGTGTGGGAGAATGCGCGTCCTTTCCCGACGCCGCCGACCACCCAATAAACAATAGAAGGATCCCAACCTCCTCGAGCTCCTTCCCGCTCCTCTTCCCTGCCGATGCTGCTAGTGTCTCTCTTCTCTCGTCGCCCACTCACCGTCTGGCGTTCCCATGGCCAGCTATGTCTTCCTCCTGTTGTCCTACCTTCTCGTCTCCTCTGCGTCTGCATGTGATCGGTGCGTGCACAAGTCCAAGACATCCTACTTCTCGTCACCATCTTCCCTCGCAGGTGCGCCCCGCAATCGAATGAACCCCTCCCCCCCCCTTTGCTGTTGCCGATAGCTCCGGGGATTCTTATTTCTCGTTCCTGCAATACAGGCGGGGCCTGTGGGTATGGCACCACGGTCACAGAGCTCTACGGAGGAAGGTACCCTGTGGCGGCGGCGGCCTCTTCCTTATACAGAGGAGGGGTGGGCTGTGGAGGCTGTTTTCAAGTAGGTAGAAGACAGAGAGGAACCTAAATGTCCTTCTGGGGAGGCCGTTTTCAAGTGCTTCTGTTTCTTCGTTCAGATTCGCTGCAAGAATAGGAAGTTCTGCACCGGCGCAGGGGTGAAGGTGGTCGTGACGGACCTGAACAAGAGCAACCAGACGGACTTAGTGCTCTCCCTGCCGGCGTTCCTGGGCATGGCCAAGGATGGAATGGGGAGGACCCTCAAGAGACTCGGCGACGTCGACGTCGAGTACAAAAGGTGGGAGATGATCCGGCCAATCCTCTGCCAAGCTCATCGATATCGTTTGCTAACTCGAGGCCCCTCCGATCTTGGGGGACTATCGACCAGGGTTCCCTGCGAATACTCGAGCCACCACAACCTGTCGTTCAGGGTGGAGGAGAGCAGCCGAAGGCCCGCTCACCTGGTCGTAAAATTATTGTACCAGGGGGGCCAGACGGAGATCGTCGCCGTCGACGTCGCTCGGGTGAGTAAGAAAGAAGAAAGCTCTCGCCGGAACTTATCTTCATCTCTCCCACAGCCGGCGTGCCGGAATCTCCGCTGATGGCGCCGGTGCTCAATGCAGGTGGGCTCATCGGATTGGCAGTACATGACCCGAGACTTCGGCGCCATTTGGAGCACGGGGCGCGCCCCCACCGGCGCCCTCCAGTTCCGGCTGGTGGTGACGGGCGGCTACGACGGGAAGTGGGTGTGGGCGGAGGAGGTCCTGCCGGCGGACTGGAGGACTGGGGCCGTCTACGACGCCGGCGTCCAGATCAACGACATCGCGCAGGAGAGTTGCTTCCCCTGCGACTCCGAGGTCTGGAAGTGACATCCTTCTCCGGCAAGCCCCTCTCTGTGTGTCTCTGTCTCTCTCTTGCTCGCTCGATCGCTCGCTCTCGCTCTGATCGTCGGCAAGATGGTCGATGCCCGCAGTCTTCTGATCTGATCCCTCCAACTTCGCCCACGTGGGAAGATCTTCAACAGGAAATTTGTGATGTTTAATTAATAATTCATATTCCCCCAGCACCCAAATGGGGTGTTGGTGCCTTAAAATGGGCCACATGGGAACTTGAAGACTCTACACCCCTCGCTGGTCGGCGGCGAACTTGACGGGCCGAAACAGGCCCACACTGTTTTGGGCCAAGTAAGTAAGATAACCGCGATTCTTCAACTCAGGTGATGACTAGTGGACGGCAGGAAACTAGTGGGCGGTTGTGGACGGCTCTCGTAACCTCGTCTGCAGGAAACTTGGGGCGTAGTAAGCCGTCCCTTTCGAGATGACCGCAGATCATAAAATGTCCCTGGTCAGGGATCGTCGTGGCAGGGCGGACATTCGCCGATTATTCCCCTCATCCTGCCTTTTCAGAGCCCGCCGAGTCGACGACCCATTTCGCCGCGCTGGTCCGAGACTCGGTGGCGGCGGCGGCGAGCCCCCCCATTCTCTCCCTCTCTCTCTCGCTCGCGGGCGGGTAATGATTCGGAGGGCAGGCAGGGCGCGTGGTATGACTGCAGTGAAAGCTGATGTTTTTGATGGAACGGCGCCAGCGAGCCCACGTCCTTTCACATCACCCTCGCGTCGTTTCGTGCTGTCCCTCCTGCCGGCGATGTCGCGGCCGACGCATCCCATCCTCGCTCCCAGCCAACGACACGCCTTCCTCGTCGCCACATCTAGTGCCGCTGCGGACGAGTCGAGAGACTCGGAGAGAGAAGAGACGTTCAGTGGCGCCGAGCTCAGCTGGCACTCAGAGAGCTGATGGCCGGTGCAACACAAACAGATGAGTCTGTGGTGCGGTGGGGGAGGGGGAATCTTGAGGAACCGGGCCACGAGGCCGGAGGGCAGGCGGCGGCCTCGCCGCCATTAAATGCGACGGGCCACTGACGGACGAAGAGATCGCGCTCGGGATTTTCCTCCCTCTGCTTACCCCCACCATCCGAATGGCCGTACACCGGGCCCCGTCATCTTTATTCCAAAGTCTCTTGGACTGTTCAAGGTGGCCACGAGGAAAATACAGATTCCACGGGCCCGCTCTCCCTCCCGATCACCGATGGCTCTTCCAGCCCCCCGCCCCGACACAGAGCCAGAGATAGAGAGAGAGAGAGAGAGAGAGAGTTAATCGAGACAGTGGAGACATCGGGGCAGGAGGTGGAAGTCGAGCGAGAAGAGGGGCACGTGAGGCTTGTCGATCCCGATGTGGCCGACGTGTAATAGGGTCTAGTGCCGGTTGACTGATTTCTCAGGCACCGATCTGAAGAGCAAAAAAATATATATGGAGCGCCTGGGGAGCGCACGTGAAGGTTGCCAGGAGATACGGCATTTCATTTCTGCAAATCCTCGCCCCCCACCACCAATCAAACTGGATACATATACATATACAAAAGGCCGCAGGAATTTCAAGGAGAATGAAAGGTAAAAGTAGAGTGGACCTCATCTTGGACCTTGACCCATTCTCGTACTTGTCATCATCATATGCCGGCCTCTCCAATCCATTTTCCAATTTTAGACAAATGATCACGTGGATGCACGTTTTATAAAAAAAGACGAAGACATGATGAATATGTGCGTGGCTGATTTAGTTATGGGCGATTGTCATCTGCCGTAGTTTTCGTCAGATCCCACGTGGGCATTGACCACGCAGTAACGATGGTAAATGCATATCGCTCTCTGTATTTTCGCGCAATACTGATTGATGATAACGATGATGATGATGATGGAGGAGAGGAATGCCGCCGCCGGCGGTCCCCGCTTGCCCTTTCTGGCGAAGGCGTTCGGGTGAGTCATAAGACGGGCCGCCGCTTATCGGATGCCAGATGGCGGGTGACCGACCCACGTGATTGGATATTCCGGCATCGGCCGTCGGAATCGACCAGGCGAGCATGCAATGATTCTGCTGCGCCCTTTAATGGTCCTAGCCACCGCCCGATTGGTCGGCCAATGGCTAGTTATACGTAGGGGCGCGACGCTCGAAAAGGCCCCTGGTGCCTAGCGGCACGGTGCAGTAGGGAGCTAGCCAGTACGGACCGGCGCACACGGCGAGCTGCGCAATGTGAGGGCTCGCTCGCTATCCTCTGTTGCACCCGGTAGAATCTTGTACCATTTAAACAATGTCAGCCGCATCAAAACCTCGACGAGATCTTAAATAATCTGGTGGCGCCACCCTGGGCGACCCGAGGAGGGTTGGCCCCTTTCACCAAGCTACCGTAGAGAGAGAGAGAGAGATGCTGCGTGGCCATCGGAACGCCAAAGGCCGGCCGCCCCTGCCAGGCCTCTTGCTGTGCGACTTTTGAAACCCGGGCAGGCGGCGGCGGCATGGGTTCAATTTCACGGAAAAAGGGCGAGTAAGGTGCCGCGTTTCGGCGTCAGCCTTCCGAATCCAGACAAAGCCGGCCACGTACCCCTAGTGGGATTCCGTGTCAGTCGTTACCTTGCCCGCTCTACCATTTCCGGGTTAATCGTACCCTCCTAAAACTTCGGGCTGGCACTGAAACACACAAATGGAGAGAGAGAGAGAGGGGGAGAGGGTCCAACTATAGTTGGGAAGGTGAGATGAGGGCCCGTCATCAGCTGCGCTGCCCTCTACCCGTCGGCCAGCACTATACGACTCTATCGCTTTCATTGCCGTGCTTAGGCTACGTGCTACTACACTTTAGAGGCGACCGGCAGGGGGTTTATAGTCATCGGACCCCGAGGGCGCAGCTCCATAGGCCCTCGAAACGTTTACATTGTTCATCACGCTAGCCGCCTCCCCTTTATTTGTTTTCTTTGTCTTCGCGCGAGCCCCGGCCGAGCCAGCCCCAGCAGCCTGGCCTCGCGCGGCTCACGGCGACTTGCCGGGCACACGACGGGCCCCCGACTTCACTTGTGGAAAGGAAAAGGGAGTGCGGACGCCCGTGAGGTGGAGATGACGGGGTCACCGCCGAGAGGAGATCCCCTCGTAGGGCGGTGAAAGTAGGCGTGTCGAGATTCGGCCAAGTGGGACAGGGTGAGTTTGTCTTGTCTGCCGTTACAAAAATAAAAAATCTACCGCCCTAAGCCCGGGGGTGCCGCGACTCGGCTCGTCCGAGCCAGTGGGTCTGCGAGAGTTCCGGGGGTGGTCCAGCCCGAGGGATCGTCTGCGCGCCAATTATGGACGTTCCGACTTCCAAGTGGTTTCCTCACCTGACACGGCCCCGGCCACAATAAAGCCACCACGCTGTCCATTTTTCAGCGAATGAGGAGCCAGACACGAACCGTGGCTCGGTGCGGTTGGGTTCAATACGGACTTTCTAATTACGAACCATCGACGTGAGCCGCGGGAGAGCAATTAAGGGCGTCGCGTAACGCGTACCGTGTTGGCCACCACTGATGTGCGCCGTATGCGGCGACAGGTGTCAAGAGAGTGGAGCTCACTCCCCCTCCTCTCTCTCTCTCTGTCTCTGTCTCTCTGTCTCTCTCTCTCTCCTTCTCACTCTGGTTCCCGATCTCTGCAGGAAGGGAGGCGGTCGTCATCGGGTTCTTACTGGTGGTGTTTCTCTCTTGGGGGGGTGTGTGTGTGTGTGTGTCTCTCTCTCTCTCTCTCTCTCATCTGGAGTTCGTCACCTCCATTAGGTGATCTCCCGGTGGCGCTGCTGCTAATGCTGCTGCTCCTCCCCCCTCCCCCCCCCCCCTCCCCCCCGCAAGGCGACGACGGGCTCCTTGCTGGCAGCATCGTCGTAATAATTATATGCGAAACAAACGCGCACGGAAAGAGCAGAGGGGCAAAAGGAGGGGAGGGGGGAAAGAGGAAAAGGTTCAATGGGGGGTGGCGGGGGTGAAGAAGAGAGGGAGAGGTGATTATCCCATTCCCGGCCCCGCCTGGCTGCTTCTCTCCCTCTTCTCCCTCTCATTGATTTCCAAAACCCTAGGCGCCCATCTTTCCCAGTCACCTACCTGCTCCACTAGCGCATCATTACAGTGATGTGATTCTCCCTGCTCCACCGCCGCCATCATCGCCGTTATCATGCTGGCGCTGCAGCATAGAGCCTCTGTCTGATTCGGTTGCCTCTGCCTTGCGCGGATCAGCTGGTCGACCGGTGCTACGCTCGGCGGCGGTCCGATCGCCCCCGCGGACGCGGAGCGCCATGGGGTGCGCCGGCTCCAAGCTCGACGATCTCCAGGCGGTGGCCCTCTGCCGGGAACGCTCCCACTGCCTCGCGGAAGCCATCCATCTAAGGTACGCTCTCGCTGACGCTCACGAGGCCTACCTCCGTTCCCTTCGCGGCGTCGGTGACACCCTTCACCACCTCTTCGACCGCTGCGACCTCCTCCCTCCTCCCTCCCCTGTCCTTTCCCTCCCTGCACAGCGAAAGGGTGACCCCATGCCTCCTTTATCACCCTCCCCCTCGCCTCCTCCCCCGCCCGCCGTTGCCATCTCCTCTGCCGTTTCACCCGTCCACCGCCATTCGCGCTCCCATTCTGGCTCCCACCTCCACTTCCGCCCCTCTGATTCAGAATACTCCGACGAGGAAGACAGACCCCTCCACTCCGGTCATTCATCTCCCCTCCACCACCATCTTCACCACGCGTCCATGGATAATATGGCCGCCAGCGGGGGCCATACCACCAACATTAACTTCGCCACGAAGGGTCCTGCCGCTCCCGCCGTATCCTACGAGCAGCGGCCTAGGAGCCCCGAGGTCGTTCAGGTAGGTGAACCCTCTTATTACAACTATCCTTACGCCGTCTCAAACGACAACTACTACGGCAACTCCTATCCGCCTTTTGCCCCATACTCTGGGTATGGAGGGATGGGAGGCGGCTTCTTCGGCGCGTACCCTCCCTCGCCGGTCACAGCGTTGTCTCAGCAGGCTGCCACCTCGTCACCTTCGAAGGCGCCGCCCCCGCCTCCCTCGCCACCGAAGGCATCGACTTGGGATTTTCTGAACCCATTTGGGGCATACGAGAACGACTACCCATCTTACACGCCGAGCAGAAGCTCGAAGGAGTTGAGGGATGAGGAGGGTATCCCTGATCTGGAAGAAGAGGAGAGTGAAGTTGTCAAAGAAGCTTACGACGACCAGAAGTCTGTAGCTGCCTCTTCCTCTACCGTTAACAAGGAGATGCACTCCGGTAATGTTTCCGCTGTGTCGGCCGAGGATGAGGATACGAAGGGGAGCACCGAGGAGCAACCGCATTACCAGACAAGATCAGGCTGTGCGGGAGAATATCCCGGTGGTCCAGAGAATGAGGTTCATCTTGTCGACAGAAGCGTGGCTTCAGATGAAGTCCAGAAGCGAGAGCCAGATGAAATTGTCAACCATAAGGTGATTCCGCAGTCTCGCGAAGTCTCAGAGGTTGTGCAGGATATCAAGGTCCTCTTCGAACGGGCTTCTGATTCCTGCGACGAGGTTTCCAAGATGCTGGAAGTGGGGAAGTGCCCATATCACCGGAAAAAGTATGAAGGTGCACTAAAAATCTAACATTTCCCTGTTCGAGCATAATGCCTGATATTCGAGTGATAATTGTTTTGGGCTTACATCAATGGGCCTTTCTCTTGCAGTGGTATCGTCAAAGATGAGAAGTGCAATCGTGCTTCCCTTATCGCTAAGCTATCCGACCCCGTCCATTTCTAAGGGAAGTGACTCTTCAGCTGCCTCGGGAAATGGGGAATCAGTTTATTTGGAATTTGACGAGGATATGGCAATGAAATCAGGGAACGTTTCATCAACTTTGCTGAAGCTTTTCATCTGGGAGAGGAAGCTTTATGAAGAAGTTAGAGTATGCTACGTTCTTCTCTATTATCCCATCTTATTTCATCTTAATGCTAGATTGCCATCCAGGAGATGGTCGATATTCATGGACATCTATCCAAAATGATAAGCTTATGTAGTCTGTTAATGCACTTCGAGAATGGGGGTCCATGAGATTCCTGGGTGTGGAAATTCACAGATACCCATAACGGTGGGTTTTCCCTGTCGGCTGACTGCCTGACTTCGGACGGGAATGTACTGCACTTTTCCCCTGGATTAAAGGACAAGGAATGAACGATGATGATTCTAGCTCACTCCTTTGTTGTGAATCCATAGGAATGAAACTTTTTCATCAGAAAGGAGTCAAATACTTCACAGTGAAGCTCAACACAATTGATTTTCTGATTTTACAGCTGTTTACTCTGCCTTCCCCGCTAAAATGGACCATATGTATCTCGTCTTTTGGCTTAAACTAGTTTTAGCTCACTCGTCACCGGCAGCAAGAGGGATATCAATACCGGAGTGCTGCTGAAATTTAAGGTCTGACTGTAGTATTGTCCAATTGGTGCAGATGTGTAAGTCTACCAGGGCTGTCTGCAAGACCAGACCATCTTTAATTTGTCTAGTCGACTATCCCAAAACGTTTTAGCCGAAGCTCGATTCTATTGAGCAGTTGGGTGCTGCATCCATGTTCTTTAGGGCGAATTCCTTTGGCCCTGGTGTGGTGCTAAAGATAGGCATTTCCTAGGGGGCTGTCTGTTGCTTGGTGGCCTGAACAAACTCGGGGAATTCCGTTTGGAAATGTAAAAGTATAAGTTGTGTTTTGTGGATCCTTAATTGGCTTCTTCTGAATTTTTTTGCCTTGCTTTACTGCCACCGAAAGTAAGCTAATGAATTTCCATCCTCCCTCAGGCAGAGACATCCACTTATTGATTTATCATTCGTTTTTCGTCGACAACTGCAGGTCTATCTGAAATACGTTAGAAAGCCCACAAAAATCTGCGTGCCAACTTCATAGATATTTGTTTTCTTTTTCTAGTTGCATGACTGTAGGAATCTTTCTTCGTTTTATCTTCATGGCTTATGATGCGTTTTTCTTCTTTAGGCTGAGGAAAAGCTGCGGGTTCTTTACGATCAGAAACGCAGGCGACTGAAGCGCTTGGAGGAGCGGTGTGCAGAGGCTCGGAAAGTTGGTCCCACCGAAGTTTTGGTCAGGAAGTTATCAACAAAAATTAAAGTAGCAATTCAGGTTGTTGACTCCATATCAAACAGGATAAGTAAGCTGAGGGATGAGGAGTTGTGGCCACAGCTTGTGGAACTAATTCAAGGGTACGTTTTCTCTTGCTTGAAAAAGGCTAACGGCAATTTCTCCTTATTCTCTGTGATGTTCCTAAGTTGTCGAATCATAAGCATTCTGCTTTTGAGGTTGGATCTACTTTAAACTTGCATTCTCTGTGATGATGACAAGGTTTCTCATAGAAACCATTTTTCTTTTGAGTGTGAATCAAACTTATGTGCAACTCTGCTTTTCAAGATTATAAATTACATTGTAGGAGGTGGTAGCCTAATCAATTCGAAGATGTTGAAATGCTTTCAGAAGTAGAGTTACGCAGGAATGGTCAATACCAAAAGGATAAATCAGAACTAGTTAATCTTCGTAAAAATGGAAGAAATCAGGTTCTACGGCTGTGAATAAGATCATGATAATTCAGATTTTTTTTTAGATGGATTGGTGTTGATGGCTTTTTAAAGGGAGAATATTGATTTTTAGGTTTTGATTGCAATGAAAATTTGTAAGAATCGTGTCACATCTCTCAGGAGGAACCAATGACTAGGACATTTCTGCAAAGGCCAAAGTGGCCTAAATTTACGCCACGAATATTTTTTCTTGTCAAAGTATATTCTCTCCCATACTGTTCCGGTGTTCCCTCATCCAGTCTTGTACTGGGTTACACTACTTAAAGGAGTTTATTTTTCAAGTGCGTTCTGCAGATTAAAGCTTGTTTCATAATACAGGGAGAGTATCAAACTAATTTCATCATTTTTTTATGCGTTTATTTGAACTGACCTTTCTGCTCATTTTTCTCTGCAATAAAAATTAGCCCAGTTTTGTTGCATTCTTGCATTTTGGGCATGACTTGATGATATGAAAAGTAAAGCCAAAAGGAGAGTGTCTAGTGAGAATGTATTGTTGGGAATGGTGCATCATGACTTTCGTCTGCATGTCTTCCATTTCATCGCCATTCTCATGGTTCTGATGCCATGAAAATTGCTCCAATTTAATCTTGCATGGAAAGAGGGCGCTAAGTTTGATCTGACTCCCTTGGTTTCTTTACTTTCCTTTAGATCAAGAATAACTGAATAGCCGTGATATGCCTCCAGCATACATTTGCTGTCTGAGCACATTTATATGGGATGCTTTAGATTCTATGGTTGAGGAGTTGATTTTGCCCTCTGTTTTGGAGTTGCCGGTCTCAAAGATGACAAACCTGCAGCGTACTTGTTGATAAACCACTATCACACAATGCTATATTTCAAGTAAGCTTGGGTTAACGAAGCCTGTTTTTAACCAGTCGTGGTACACGCAATTTGCCGCATCCTGTAAAGTTCAGTAAGTGACAGTTGTGGTCAGAGGGGATCTTCTGCAACATCGTGCTTTACTCACGTTACCTTTCAAAAAGTATTGTCTCAAGTCAGTGTATACGTTGCGTGCTGGTCAAAATATTTCTAGTCTACAGGCTCTAAGATGGTGCTTTGAATTGAGCTCTTAATACTTTTAGATTCAGATGATCACCACTTTGGCGATTTCTTGACTCATGGGGGGACAGAAATGTTAAAATCGTGTACCAAAAAAGAATCAAAAGAAATGAGGTAGATATGCTCAAAATCCCACACATCTTATTGGTGCCTATGGTGGACTCAAAATCCCACACATCTTTGATTCCTTTAATTTGAAAACCGTCTTTGTCTTGGTGTTTAATATTTCGTTCGGCTGCTAGCTTAGAATTACAGTTTCCTATTGCCTATTTTTACCCTTCTGATATCTCATTTTACACTTTTCCTTTCAGTTATCTAAGTGCAATAGACTGACTTTATAAGAAACAATACAGCAATCTTAAATATTGCTCGGTCCTCGACTCTCTCCACTTCCATATTGGCTTCTTCTGTTGCGCCTGGCTGTTTAATTTCTGTTCATGGAGTGACATGGGCCTCTATACTTCTGTTTGCTTCTGTTTGTACACCTTTGATGCCAAATAAACATGTAATCACACGTGCAGGCTTGTGAGAATGTGGAAAGCCATGATGGAGTGCCACAAGAGTCAGTACCATGCCATCATTGAATCTAAAAACATGGACGGTATAGCATCTAATGGGAAGCTGAATGAAGCTCACATGGAAGTCATAAAGCATCTCGAGCTGTCACTACTCAGGTGGATTGATGCATTCTGCTCCTGGTTCCATGCCCAGAGGAGTTTTGTGAGGGCATTGAATGGGTGGCTTTTGAAATGCCTTCTTTACGAGCCAGAAGTGACACCTGATGGAGTCGCTCCTTTCTCGCCAGGAAGACTGGGGGCGCCACCTGTTTTCGTCATCTGTAATCAGTGGTCACAGGCTATGGACAACACGTCCGATGGGGAAGTGGTCGCTGCTATGCAGGCCTTCGCTGCAAGTGTTCTTCAACTTTGGGACCGGCAGAAGCTCGCTGAGCGCCAGAGAATGATGGCCAATAGAGATATGGACAGGAGGCTGAGATCCCAAGAAAGGGAGGAGCAGATGATCCACAAGGCAGTGGATGCGCTCAACAGGAAGCTAGTCATGGCCTCGGACCCGAATGGAGCCCCCATTTATGGACAAATAGTTCATAAAAATACTTCTTCTGAAGAAAACAGTCTGAGGGAGGAGCTGAAACGGATCTTTGACGCCATGGAAAGGCTCGCAGAATCTTCTGTAAAAATCTACGAGGATCTCTGTGCACGCAACGAAGAAGAGTGGGCAGGGAGAGAGAACCCAAGAGCTTCATAGCCCGCCTCCCAACACTAGGACTTCAGCCTCCATCCTCCCCTCCTCGATTCCAACTTATCTTGGATGGGCTCGCTTCATTTGCCTCCAAGCTTTTTCCAGTTGATCAGATCTCCGTGGAGATGCTTGGTTGAGTTGCCAGAGCCCACACCCGACCAGAGAAATGTGCATAATTCTCCAAGGGATGACATCCCCACGAGGGTCAATGATCTTGACGCTGGGCTGCCCTGGGAGATGCCCGGCTTCAAGTTACATGGAGCAGACTGGGAGATCAGCTAGTTCTCTGGTGATGCTCTTCTTTACGCATCCAGGGTCTCCACTGCCGTCGACCACGAGCGATCTGTGGTGAAGGTCTTCTCGTCGACCAGCAGAGGAATGGGTTTGTCATCAAAGTGACATAACCCGCCAAGCTGTGAACTTGGTGCTCTCCATGTACATTGACCTGCCGACTGGCGTAGGCTTAGCATTTTTTCTTCATTTGTTTTAATGTAATCTGTTCTCATAATCTTATTTCTGATCAATAAGGGTAGACAGCGTTACAGCCTATGCAGTTTCTGGCATCCTGTTCTCCCTTTCTTGTTTGCCTCACGCAAAAATAACGTGATCTACTCCGATCATATTAAAGGAACCCGATCCTGAGCAGGATATCTTCTGATTCTTGACCGATGATACTCGGAAGGTATAAGATCGATGCTGATTGGGATCTGCAAACTTTGAAGGCAGCCATGGTGGTGCTCTGGGTGGATACGCCCGGCTTCCCCAGGGTTTGGATCAAAGATTGAATCAGTCGATGTGTGAGAAGACCCAATTCTGGACTTAATAAAATAGAAAGAGATACAAACATAGTTTCAGGCCACAAAATTTAATATTTTTAGTAAAGGGTAGGTGGATATTTTATTTTTATAAAATGTAGGCAAGTCACTTTATCTTTACCTGTGTGGAGGCAATCAGTCTGCCGTCTCTTTCTTAAGTGATATTATGACGGCGAAGCAAGAGAAAATATAAAATCACTGATTATTTCGCATCCTAAATCCACAGCTGCCCGGTGGGCTCTATCCCGAAGGCCCACATCTCGATTTGCCTTGGTGTAAGTGACTTGGGCGTCTTGAACCGGGGAGTAGAATGCAACGTTCAAGAGGCTCAGTAGGCGTCAGTAGAATGCAACGCTCCGTAAAACCTAAAGTTCAAGAAAGTGACCCGGGTTGAATCTGTCGCATATTCTACAAACAATCTTTAAATAATTCGTGAGATCTCACCAGACGGTCATACAGCAGGAGGATTCTGGTCTCTGCAGCCGGATAGAACGACGCAAGAGACATTTCTTCAAACATCCTGAAGGAAAAAACTGAGGGAATCTGATCTTCCTTTCCGAGAGGGGCCCATAACAAGATGGCATTCCCTGGGCCCGAGGCCAAAGTTTGGCAGAGATAATTAGCCGGTGGAAGTGAGCGCCGCCGGGTTGACTCTTGAATCAGTCAAAGAACTGCCAGGCCCGCCGTCGGCTAAGAAGAAGGACTGGGAACCATCAACGGCCGGTCATCAAGATCTACGGAGACCTAGACGAGCCTTGGATAGGCTCCTAGATAAGGCTCTTTTAACGAGTTCGACGCGATGTGGTCAGACTTCAGACTAGTACTCTTTAAACGAGTTACTTGGTCTGCAGGCGGCGATCGAACACCTCTCGGTGATCGCAATAAATATTCTTCAATCTTGTAATCTGGTTGAGCGATGGCTCCTGATACAGCTAGTATCCCTATTAACGCCGAACTCCATCGTCAGACCTTCTAGCCGAGCAGTCTTTGACCAGCCATCTTAACGGTTCTGGACGCTAGGTCAAAAGTTGATTTCGTCCACGTCCAGGGAAGTTCCGCCGGCGGCGCGGAATTTCACACATACGAGAGATCGTATCCGAATTCCACGGCCGACGCGATTTTAATGACAATTTAAGGATCGACGAGGAGGGGTAGGAAACCTCCGGTTGATCCCATGAATCTCTGATTTCCATCACACGGTGCAACCTCCCTGTTAAAGTCTCGTGGGAACTAGTCAGTCAACCTTCTCGGGGGGGGGGGGGGGGGGTCAAGGCTGCCGTATTATCCAGGAAACAAGGAGACGCAGGCCGGGCAATGCGACCGACTTACTGTATATAAAGGTGTAGGGGGGAGTGGCCAGAGCCCAGGGTACCACACAACCGACTGCCTACTCCTCGGAGATAATGGGGAAGTTCGCCGTGTTGCTCGCCCTATGCTTGGGCGCCATGTCCTTGATCGGCGCCGAGGCTCAGCAATGCGGCAGGCAGGCCGGAGGCGCACTGTGCGCGGGCGGCCTGTGCTGTAGCCAGTTCGGCTGGTGTGGAAACACCGCAGCGTACTGCGACCGAGCACAGGGATGCCAAAGCCAGTGCTCGGGAGGACCGACCCCCACCCCTTCTACGCCTACCCCCACCACAGGCATTTCCTCGATCGTCAGCCAGGCCCTATTCGAGCAAATGCTGCTGCACCGCAACGATGCTGCTTGCCCCGCAAGGAACTTCTACACTTACAGCGCCTTCATCACCGCGGCGAACTCTTTCCCCGCCTTCGGAACGACGGGGGACCTCACCACCCGCAAGAGGGAGATCGCCGCCTTCTTCGGACAGACCTCTCATGAAACTACCGGTGAGTCGAAGTGGACGGATGATTGACTGATAGTGACCGGCCGAAGTGGAAGACGGATTTTCGTCGTAAAACAGCTGTTAACCACGGTTTCTTGGATACAGGTGGGTGGCCGACGGCGCCGGACGGTCCCTACTCCTGGGGATACTGCTTCAAGGAGGAGCAAGGAAACCCGGGAGCTTACTGCACCCCAAGCTCACAGTGGCCCTGCGCACCTGGGAAGAAGTACTACGGCAGAGGACCGATTCAGATCACACAGTGAGTTTAATTGCTGCCAGGGATCACGCTGGTCGTCATTTCCCCGTTTACGTACCCTGAGTTTTCGCTTTGATTCCTTCTTACGGTGTGTTTAATCAATTTCAGTAACTACAACTACGGCCCAGCCGGTCAAGCAATCGGAGCGGGCCTCCTCAACAACCCTGACCTGGTGGCCTCCGACGCCGTCATCTCCTTCAAGACGGCCCTATGGTTCTGGATGACCCCGCAGTCCCCGAAGCCGTCGTCCCACGACGTCATCACCGGAAGATGGACGCCGAGCGCCGCCGATGTTGCCGCTGGACGGCAACCCGGCTACGGCGTGATCACCAACATCATCAATGGGGGGCTAGAGTGCGGCCGTGGACCCGACGGCCGGGTGGCGGATCGAATTGGGTTCTACAACCGATACTGCAACATCTTGGGTGTTAGTCCCGGCGCTAATCTCGACTGCTACAACCAGAGGCCGTTTGCTTGAGCATGGGAGCTTTGCTTTTATCCCTTCCTGTCTTCAATAATAAGGCTGTAAGCTGGTGTCATGGTCTGTGCGCGGACTTCAGACCTGAGCTTCGTGATAATAAATGGTTATCTTGTTATACCTCCATGCCAACTCTTTGATCTGGGGACTCGTTTTTCTCACTTGACGCTCTTTGACTCTGCAAATCGGCATCTTATTCAGTCCATTTGGAATAATTTTCTCAAGAATATTTAGCTCTTGTGAGGTTTTGGTTTTTTTTTTCCCTGAATATTGGTGCTCTCTTTTGGGTCAAAAAACATCATAGCTATTTAATGAATATTTTTTAAGGCTAATATTAGCAATAATAGTATCATTAGTGATCACTCATATACCGATAATTTATACCTAAGTATATACGTTAATAAAGGTACACAATTACTAAGTATCTGCCGATTAGTTGTTCAAATCCAAATTCGGTAATAAAGATATTTAGTTCAGAAATTGGAAGGCCATATAATTACACCTGCTGAAGGACATTTTTTGATTTCGAAAATTTTGTTCGCACTCCCAAGGTAGGTGCTCATTTTTTCGCAGAATTCCTAAAATTTTGCGATTTCAAGAGGTTGATGGCTTGAGAATCGTACTCATTGAGAGAATGTCAAAATTAAGAGATTACAAATGTCACCAATAGGAGTTGCCTTGGCGTTTCCTGCTTCGTTACAGATGATCGTGTGTGTGGGGAGGGAAGGGGGGAGGGAGAGAGAGAGAGTCGCCGATCCGCATGGTGGCGATAGCCTCCCAGGCCTCCTTGGCCGTCTCCTTGTTCGCGATCACCGGCCACATTTCCGGCGGCACGGCGCTGCAGAGCGCGTCGAGCGCCTGCATGTCTTCATGGGGTTCGACGCTCCCTTTCTCAATGGCGGTCCAGAGCAACCGGGCTCTGAGCTTGACCTTCATGAGCAGCGCCCAGAGAGAGAGAGAGAGAGCAAAAAACACGATTCCTCAGTCGTCGCTGGCGTGGACAAGTTCTTACTGCACGCTTACTTTTCTTTTTTGTGAACTCACTACCCTTCTTTTTACCAGTCCACAACATTTCTATCTCAATGTGGAATGATCGCTCTGTGAAATCTGTGTATTTCCATCTACAAAATTGAATCAACCGCTGTGGTTTTTGACTCCCAAGAGTTGACCCGACTTGATCTTTTACGTTAAATCTTCGACCCTACATTTGATGTGGGAAAGAGGCGAATGCGCAGGCCAAGAGTTGCTTATGTTAAGGAAGAGACAGACCATTCTTATTATCTTGAGCACGTTGTGTTCATATATACATATATATTTATGGCAATTCCGCCATCGCACAGTTAAATAGTTGACTTGCTAGACAAAAAGACTTCTGTTTTTGTCTTCCAGATGGGGGGGTGAACTGGTCGAACATTAATCTTCTGCTTCTGTCTTCCATCTCACAGCAGCACTAAACTGGTCGAACTTGCTAGATACCCACAGTCACGATTGTTCACAATGTGCTTCTCATCTCAGTCATCTTTATTGATACGCGGGCATCAGGCTAAACGAGGAAGAGAACATAAGAGTACTACCTAAACGGGTAACACTGGAGTACTGTTGGGAATCCAGGCCGTATTATCCGAACAGTCCAGAGCCTTTTCGAGATTTGACGGCATAGTGGCCAATAGGGCTCGTTCTTGTTACGCTGCTCACGTGGGCTGCTACTGTTGGAATTTATAGGAAGGACCTTCTCTCACATCAACCAACTGGCGATGGCCATTTGACGTCGGGGGAGATGGGGGGACTTGAGACTTGGATATGGTGCAAACCTACTCGTCCAGTTTGGCCGATCTAAACCCCAGAAAAGCCCCTCTGACGAGTGGTTTTGACTAAACGAGTATTTTGAAGTCGTTATCTTGTGCATCGAAAATATTTTTTAGCGTTAGAATTTATTCGTTCGCTCTCGAACTCGAACTGCATGATCGTTATTTATGGCGTAACCATAAACAGATGCCTAACCATGGTATTAATTAGAGTTGAAAGCCCGATTTACGAATCTTAAGAGTTGAGCCAATACACCTAGCTGCCCGCCTTGTCTTTAATTTCCTACGTTCTTTGTTGTGATGTATGAATTTTTTGCAGAAACAGAAAACATAAAAATCGAGCGCGAGGATATCATCAATAGTGAAAACGGGGAGAATCAGAAAATGACAGTTATATCACGATGTATAGTGCGACTATACCGTCACAGCCTTTCGTGATTCTGCAGCAGATGACCAAGAAGACTCTTCTCCCCAAGGCAGCCTCTCATGAAAAGAATGTTGTGTTGACTGGGTTTCCGTGGGCGGAGATAACTACAATGCCGACCGACATGGCAGGTCAACCAACCGGGGAAGGCCACATCCGGGAAACGGTCGCGGGGAGGCTGCGTCTGATACTGAAGAACTCATCCATATCCTTATCCTCATGAGCTAGACCTGAAAGAATAAAGAGAATGAATCGCAAGGTAAGGTTGAACTGGTCAGACGGTATTGTATTGACTGAAGTATCCTCTTATCGAGGGTGACCATGACGCCGGACAATTTCACGTATTTCAAACTAAAGTCAATGGCACGTCTGAAACGCGCATCCAGCAGGATCTCCTCACGAGCGAATGAGCAGGATCTCATATCGGTTGAGTGAAAGGAAGAAGATCTAAGGAGATGAATATGATGCTACGATCCTATACACTAGCATGAGTCGTGCATCCGCTTTATTCACTGATCTTTCACCAAGTTTTCATGCGGCCTCCGTTAGACTTTCTGGTGAACCAAGTTTTCCAATACCGTGAAAAAAATTTCTTCGATCGAACTTCTCCTCTGCCGGCATCTGATCACTGGAGGGGCGAGACGGCCTCATAAACAATGTATATGCAGCATAGAACCTTTTCATCATCATCTATCAAACCCCATCGGATGACGCCCCAAACTCTCGACGCCTTGACAGCTAGGAAACTACACCCCGCGGTTGCGTGGTAAACAAGGTTACGCGTAACGAAGCTCATCTCGCCTGACAAAGAATTGCATTATGCGAAGATTAATAATTTACTGATTTCGTATAGACGGCGCGCATAATTCTTCAAATTGATCTGCTTCACTTATGGGTCATCAATGACGCAGTTTATCCGGTCCGATTTATCATGCGTCATCAACTCGCACAATTTATGGTGTCATGGGAGAGGAAGGGTGGGCGGTACGGGAAAACGACGTGCTGACCTCCTCTATTTAAGACAGGGCTAACGCATAAACCTGCGCTATCTTTGTGTCCACGTTACTCGCGCAAGGAATGGGGAGGGTCGCGCTGTTGCTCGCCTTATGTCTGGGCTTCGTTTTGGTCGTCGGCTCCAAGGCTGAGCAATGCGGCAGCCAAGCTGGGGGTGCGCTGTGCCCCGGGGGCTTGTGCTGCAGTCGGTTCGGTTGGTGTGGAAGCACCGCACCGTACTGCGATCTAGCGCAAGGATGCCAGAGCCAGTGCTGGGGCCTGACCCCATCCCCGCCTCCCCCGTCCCCGCCGCCCCCGTCACAGCCGCCGAGCGGCGGCGTGGCCTCTATTATTAGCCAGACCCTTTTCGACCAAATGTTGCTGCACCGCAACGATGCTGCTTGCCCGGCGAACAACTTCTACACTTACAGCGCCTTCGTCACCGCAGCGAACTCTTTCCCCGCGTTCGGAACGACGGGGGACCTCACCACCCGCCAGAGGGAGATCGCGGCTTTCTTGGGGCAAACCTCTCATGAAACTACTGGTAGGAGAGGAGAATGAAGATTTCGTTGATATCTTAGTCTTTTGAATCACCAGTTGGCTAATGGTTTTGTTGAACGCAGGAGGTTGGGCTACTGCGCCAGACGGCCCCTACTCCTGGGGGTACTGTTTCAAAGAAGAGGTTGGAAACCCTGGAGATTATTGTCAGCCAAGCACACAGTGGCCTTGTGTTTCGGGGAAGAAGTACTACGGGAGAGGACCGATTCAGATCTCATAGTAAGTATATTGTTGCTTTGACAAACTCTACTCGTCGTTTGTTCCCATATTCATTTCGGTTGCTTTGCTGTGACTGCACTTCAGCAACTACAACTATGGCCCAGCCGGCCAAGCAATCGGAGTGAACCTCCTCAACAACCCTGACCTGGTGACCTCCGACCCCGTCGTTTCCTTCAAGACGGCCCTGTGGTTCTGGATGACCCCGCAGTCCCCGAAGCCGTCGTCCCACGATGTCATCACCGGAGGATGGACGCCAAGCGCCGCCGATGTTGCCGCTGGACGGCTGCCCGGCTACGGCGTGATCACCAACATAATCAACGGGGGGCTAGAGTGCGGGCATGGATCCGATAACCGGGTGGCGGATCGCATTGGGTTCTACAACAGATACTGCAACATCTTTGGAGTTAGTCCCGGCGTGAATGTCGACTGCTACACCCAGGGGCCATTTGGATGAATAACACAGCTCCCGTTCTTCCATGAAATGAATAAATGAAGGCAAAAAATGACTGTGTCATCATCGTACCTTGTTTCAAAAAATAGGCAGTTTTCCTTTCTCTCAATTCACTATCGAGGAACGTCTCGGAAATTCAGATATGTCGAGGACTTGGTCCTTGGTAGTTCATCTGCCTCGCCTGCTACTTCCAGTAGTTTGTTCAGATTTAATGAATCTGTGACGTAACAATATAACCTTGTACATAACCAAGTGGATTTTCGAGGATTCCATGACTACGTAAAAAAACTGGGATTTCTTTTGGTTTTTTTAGATCTCATAGTTGTATCTAGGGCCGAAATTTAGAAAACTATATAGACACTTGATGAATAATAGGGATATAATTAGCCTATAAGAACGTAACCATCAAATCCGCTGCCAATTCAGTGTTTCAACATAAAATATTCATAATGGGTGAATTTGTTTATGTAAGTTGGATTTTTAACTATTGCTGTAGTTAAGGTGAAAGTAGCGTACGTGGCAGGTTATATAAATCTACAATGTTGATATTAAGGTTGCAACTGATAACCAGGTGTCATTCTGTGGAGAAGAATTACGGTGGTTTTTATATCTGCTAAGATTATGTAGTAATCAGTTTGGAATGTTCATCGCATCTCTCTGGCAATTACGACCAGCCTTCAGGGCAGTCGTGAACTCCAAGTCTGAGGAATGGAAGGCACCAGGATAGCTTCGGGGAGCTAGTACCACGCTTGCTATCCTCTGTTGCCCGAGATAAAAGAGCATGTGATTATTGCTATGGTCGTTCCATGGTGGACTAGACTACCACGCCTGATGAACAACAAAGTGGCCATTTCTTTTCTTTAGTTTTCTTCGACGAACAGAAAGCTTCATTGGATAGTAATTAATCTTCAGTTTAGATGTAGTAGGAGCTCCGCTACTGTAAAGGTAGGGTATCGATATCTATCAAGATTTAGGGAAATTCGGGATTATTTAGAAGAGAAAAAATTGGAATCCGTCGGAATCTACTGAAAGAAAAAGTTGAAGATGATTTAAAGAACAAGGAATTCTCCTCAAATAATCAGCAAGAGAAAGTATGTTATCTGTATTGAATCTTGAATCATCCCTAGGTTGAAAAGAGGATCATCCCTTCATAAAGATCAAGGGCTTAATGTCCCATGATAAGCTCAACTTAAAAACGTGCTTGGATTGTGTCGTGTCTTTTCCTATATTGAACAGGTGTATGCCAGCTATGAGGGATCAGGGATTAAAAAAGGGTGCGGTCTGGTTCCTGTATTTTATTTTATTTTCTTTGTGAATCGATCTCTTCCCCATTTTCCTACCCATTTCATATTTAATCTCCAAAGTACGGTGCACGGTACATGAAGGCTGCACAGTATTCACCCATGTTGGGATTTACCATCGACCCATTCAATTCATAATTCACTAGATCTTATTCCAAAATACATTATTTTGCTTTGTTCATCCCCAGTGAGTTTGTTGACCCGGTGAGAGAACCATAAACCGCACTTAAATTTCCATTCTAGATCTGCAAAGTACCCTAGTGGAGCCAATCAAAAGGCCCCTTTTGAGTTATGCAGGTTTTTCTAATTTGTAGATTTGAATTTCCTCTCTACAATGGTTACTGAACTCTAATCTATCATAAGGTAAGCTTACAGAAACTGATGTAGCAAAGTCACTTTTTTGAGATATTACCGAATGGATTCCAAAAATTGAGAACCTTCCTCATGTTTGTAAAGATTCAACAAAAAATGATAAATCACGTGATGAATTCTTACTTTTCTCATCTACTCTATTGAATAGATGCGATGTAGGGCAAGGGCACATTCTAGTTGTAATAGGTCAAGCAAGCGAATCGAGTTTAGCCTTATCAGATTTGGGCCCCGAAGCCCACCACAAATTCAAATGCTGGTCAACTCGTCCAGACTTTGACAAGTTTCTTAGTTACTAGTGGACTCCTTTTCACCTTGTGGGTTCGTCATCTTATTGAATCTATCTTCTGTTTTACATGTTGGGCTTAAATAAGGATAAAACTTGAATCATGAGAAAGAGAGAAGTCCTCCCTTTTGTTCATCACTTCTCCCTTATGAGTTGGTCACAAATACCCTGTCATCTTGGTAGTGTTGGTCGAGAGGACCCCAACACTCCTAGTCGGAGCTCCACCATTCCTTTGCCCTTCATCTCTACCTCCTCCACAGCCCCCCATTTTGATTTGATGCCATCACCATCACTATGCTTGTTGGAGGTTGTTTGTGACTAAATCATCATATGCTGACCTTGTGCATCCTTCCTCTGACTGCCTCCCTCTTTCGTTGCCTATGGCCACAGATCTAGTCATATTGACATTAGTACCATTTACTGGACATCGTCCTCCAATAGTCACTGTCCGTCCTGAAATCACCTATAGCCTATAGCCTGAAATCCACTATCCATTTACTGAAATCACAGATCTAGTCATATTGACATTACCTATAGCTAGAAATCCGGCCTCACCACTGTCCAAATTGAATTTTAGATGTGGATCGTGATTTGAGTCTAACTAGGCGAATCCCTTCCCTAGTTGGTAATCCCTTACCCTTCCCGTAGTCATCATTTACTTATTTAATATATTCATCTTGTGATTGTCACTGGGTATTGATGAGATAGTCACTTGTCTAGTATTAGATTATCATACCCCCAAGTTAAACTTGATTTTGCCATATTAATTTCAAGCGTCTAGTGGTTTGTTTCAACTATATAATCTAGTCTTTGTTTCTACCTGTAGATGATTTTGAATCTTTCTTGAATTCTGAAATTTTCCTTCTTAATTTTCTAACTTCAATTGTGACTTATGAAGCATTTTATTTGCCACTTCACATGTCATCATTTTCATTTGCATCATTTGGTATTAGAGCATTATGTCATAAGGTACATGCATATGCATTTCTTGCCTCATGCCTACTAGGTTAAGTCATGCATATTTCACCGCATATCTACTAAGTCTAAACATACATACCCAGCAGAGAAGGGTCAATCAAATCTTTAGATGGAAGATAATTATTGATAGCCTCAAAAATAGAATGAACAAATTAAAAGTCAAAAGAGAACAAGACACCTCTCCTGATACCACATAAGCAACCTAGAGTCTAAGACCTTCATAGAGACAATTACCACATAAGGAAGAAGTTCATGATGATCCTCTCAATTGCAACAATTACTACAAAAATGTTGGTGTTGCTGTTCCAACATTTGAGATTTCCCAAAATCTTAAGGTTTAATTACAGTGCAAGGTGGTCATAGATAATTATTTTGGGTGGTATGAGATGGATGAGGCTAGGATGATTAGATTTGTTGATTTGAAGCCAACGGAACATATCAAAACTTATTGGTAGAATATAGATTGACTCCTATAATATAGACGTCAAGAGCCCGTAGAGACTTGGGCTAAGATGAAAGCTTCTACAAGAGAAATATCTTCCCATTAATTATAAAACCAACTTAGTAGAACAGGGGCAATAAATAATATAAGACACTTACTTGGCTGCTGACTATGTTGACCAAATCAATAATTTATTACCTGGTTGTATATTAAATGAAGTTTTCACCTTCACTCTATCATGCTTTAAGAGTAGATTATGAGAAGACTTAAGAATTTAACTCTTCATTAAGGATATGCATACACTATAAGAGGCATATCAACACATCATATATTTAGATAGTTTCCATAGGCCCTTCTTTGCACTTATCAACCCACAAACACAATCTATCTAATTTTTGTCCCAACCTATGGATGATACTAAGACTTGAGTATAGGTGTGTACGAATTTCTATCACGAATAAGACCCCTTTGGGACCCATTGAGATGAAAACACTTGACAAGAGAACAACTATTATAATAATGGAGGGTACCTCTAGATTGAGTTATTTTAATTGCCGTAAAGATAGTCACATGGCAATTCAATGCCTAATTTGCAGCCTCTATATAGAAGAGCCCAACTTTGGCCACCATATCTTAGAATATACATTAATATCAAATGATAAATTAGAGGAAAAAGAGTATACTGCCTATTCGGAGATAATCCTTGGCTTTTTTGAAGGACTAGATCTAGGAATCATGAGATATTTATTGACCCAACTAATTATAGAAGAAAATCTTAGGTGAATAATTATTTTTTATACATTTGTTGAAATTGAACTCATTATTTGTAAATTTATCGTAGATAGTGGTAGTAACATTATTGTTATATCCTAAGATGCTATTACAAAACTAAGATTGACCACACTTATCTATACAAAATATTATGAGTGAATTATATCCACACTTCAGTCCAAAATAATACTTAGTCTCCCTTAAGATTAATTTCTATAAAGATAATATTCAATGTGATATATTTTTGATGGAGACTAGAATTATTTTAAGGCAGTCATAGTTATATAACTAAAACATCACACAAATAGGTAGAATGAATATGTGATCCTTTATCTACAAGGGAAAGAAGATAGTGTGATATCCTTATTTCACTCTGTGAGGTAAAGGTCAAAATCCTACACTAACACCTAATTTGAATATCATTAGTGTCCAAACCATTTAAAAAGAGCAAAAGATATGATCACTTATTTGACTTATCTATATAAAAGAAGCTGCAAATGATACCTCACTTAGAAATATCACACGTAAAATTTTTAGAAGTACAGAAGTTCCTAGAAAAATATAAAGGCATCCTCCTTAATGACCTGCCCTATAAGTTGCCACTTATGTGAGATATCCAACACACAATCAACCTAATACTTAACTCATCCTTACCTAATTTACCTCACTACAAGCTTAGTTCTAAATAACATGATGACCTAAAATAGTAGATCACGAAATTACTTGAAAAACGTTTTATGTGTGAGAGTCTTAGCCCAAATGTAGTTCTCACACTTCTTGCTTCAAAGAAGGATGAGGGCATAGAGAATGTGTGTTGATATTAGACCTATCAAATATATATTTGATTTTTCATCTC